TGGGGGTGGTGGCGGAGGAGGAGGTGGTGGTGGGGCCGAGAGTAAACCCTACAGGGAGGTGATGATTATGCTTGAGAGTCTCATGGCTGATAGCACGGTCACAATAGAGGTCGTAAATGGAGATGCTACTGCTGCGGCTACTAAAACTGATGTCGCGTCGTCATGTGTTCTGGCATGTTCACTTTTTTTGTTTTTATTGAGGAAATTTGACAACCTATGATCACATGTTATTGAAAACTTTTGTATTTTTCATGTAACCTATATCAGAGCTTGAATCAATCGTATCAGGTTATGGGCCTAGTACGCTTCCACTGCTTACCAGAGTCCCTTTATACTGAGAGTCAAGACAATTCGGCTCATGGATGTCAGAAACGGGAATAAAGATTACAGAAATTGAACGTTTTTCGTAATATTTGATCGGCCCATTCTCAAATGCCTTTCTCCGTTCCTCCTCTCATTCCGTTTGTTCCTTGCCGAACCCGTAATTCCCTGGTCCATTCCAGATTTTAATCTTTGCAATTGGTGAAAATGTAATCTTTATTCCCGTTTGTGACACTGTGGAGGCCTAAAATACGGGAACCAATCAGAAATGGATTCAAATTGTCTTGACTCTCAGAATAAAGGGACTCCACTGCTTACCATTGCTTTTTTAATATCTGATGTGTATAGGTAGAGTGGTCCTCTGGTGGGATGTCAATTGAGATCTTGTATGGATCAGGGATCTACAGTTGAAATGCATGGTTTAGCGAAAAATTTCGCGAGAGACACGATGGCGCCACTGGTTTTCTCTGAAATCAACTCCTCAGCTCGGAAAAGCTCTCAAATTCATAGAGGGGGTATCCCATGCTGGGTCGAGAGTCCACCTCTATATCTGGTCAAACTTTCCATTCTCGGGTACGGAGCAAGTACTTTAGCAGCTCTCAACGCAGAGTGGGTTATCCTCTCCATTACTGCATGAACTTTGATATCTTTTATACAGGGTGTCCGGAAGTTAACGTATTTAACTTTCAGGATCACTATTTCGGCTCAAAATAAGACTTTTTTTCCCTATACACATATGCCCGAAAACGCTTCATACGTGAGCTATGCGCTTACAAAGTTGCCATTATTTTTCGTTCAAATTAATATAGCTCCTCGTCATTTTTTCATAGGTGGCTGAAACTTTGCATTGGGGGGTATTTTTTAGCGCTCTATTCAGTTTTTGTGTTTTCAAGGACGTACGTCTTCGAAAAATGACGTCACAAGCTTTCCCGAATTTGAAAATTGCGATAACTTTTTTGGTAGATGATATGTCGAAAAACGGATTACGGCACGTGAAAGAACGTAAAAAATCAAGGGGTCCAAGGACTGCACAAAATTTTCCAGAAACGTGTTATTTCGACGCAACAGAACTTTGAAAAATTTTAAGATTTTCGAAGCTCCTTGCTGTGTAGGCAATTTTTACTGCAAGGATTGAAAAATTGCCTACAGAGCAAGGGGCTTCGAAAACCTGGAAGCTATTGTGACGGCTCTTGACCTTTCCCTCACACTTTTTCCAGGCTTGGGACTGGCCCGAGCATCATCTTACTAAAACCGCGGTTAGGCGGCGATATTTTTGGTATCAAATACCACCAAAAAATCATACTTGGAGGCTTATCGAATACATGGTTTCAAATGGAGCTTCGAAAATCTTAAAATTTTTCAAAGTTCTTTTGCGTCGAAATAACACGTTTCTGGAAAATTTTGTGCAGTACTTGGACCCCTTGATTTTTTACGCTCTTTCACGTGCCGTAATCTGTTTTTCGAAATATCATCTACCAAAAAATTTATCGCGATTTTCAAATTCGGGAAAGCTTGTGACGTCATTTTTCGAAGACGTACGTCCTTGAAAACACAAAAACTGAATAGAGCGCTAAAAAATACCCCCCTATGCAAAGTTTCAGCCACCTATGAAAAAATGACGAGGAGCTATATTAATTTGAACGAAAAATAATGGCAACTTTGTAAGCGCATAGCTCACGTATGAAGCGTTTTCGGGCATATGTGTATAGGAAAAAAAAGTCTTATTTTGAGCCGAAAAAGCGATCCTGAAAGTTAAGTACGTTAACTGTAGAGCTTTTATTGAACTTAGGAGTTGATTTCAGAGAAAACCAGTGGTACAACCGTTTTTCTCTCGAAATTTCACATCAGAAACAGTACTTAAATCGCAAATCCCTGCCATATGTAGAAACTCTATTATTGTCGCTTGACTGCTGGAGGGGTCACTAAAAAATGAGACATCAGGAGCTGGAATTGGCACGGAAATAGAATAACGCAACTTGGCACCAGGTTCCAAATGATATCATAATAAGGCCCATATCAATAGATGCTAAATGCTGGAAATCTATTTTAAATATTGACAATTTTAGTTTTATAACTATGAGAATGTAATTATACTACTATGTTATATGACACGATTTGGCTTAGTAAAATTCTTTGTACTACTTCATACTGCTTAGCGTTTTCTTCACTGCCCGCGAATATCGTGTTTTTTGATATCCATACCAAAAACCTCAAGATGGACGGTATTCGTATAACTCCTTGGAAGGAGGAAGAGGGGAGGTTTTGACACATCGTAAACGTTCGTATCCGTCGTATCAAACTGGCGGGTTATGACGGTTGGAAGGTGTCAGTTGAAAAAACGTAGTTTGAGAAACGAGTTTTTCAAGCTTTTACTTGTCATGTTTGTGGGTAAAGGTAACGCTAAGTTAAAATGCATCCTTACATTACGCATCATTAATTCAGATGTTGTGAATAATGTGGTGGTTAATAATATGTGATGAAGCAACTCAACGTTGAGGTAACGCGTGGATGCATGCAACTATTACTGTTCGACGGTTGTCTTTGTTGCATATCTATTCAATTGAAGGCGCGCTGGCTATCCATTCCAATACCATCAGATCCCGGATGTAATCTTCTTACATCCAAACTTATACGAATTCAACTTGACTCATTTCATGTTCCCTAATTTCCAGGGATAAAACCACACAACACCTTGAAATTTTTGTTTTAATTTTCGGTACCTGATACAGAGTACACTCATAAAATTTCAAATCAGAATATTGTTTAGTAGTCTTTTAAAAAATGAAACATGAAAGGAAACTAGACAGTGCCTAATTTAGTTGGACCGATCCTGGTCAAAATATGGCCGTCCAGTGTCCAGGTGAAAAAGGAAACTTAGTAACGAAAAACTCAACATTGAAATTTTACGAATATCGCTACTTATTGTCACTTGTCAGTGCTCAGAGAAATATTTTAAAGACATCTGGCTTAAGAAAGCCCAACAATTTCAAACCAAAATAGACCTGTGACAAACTGACGACTTTAAATTTGTAGCTCAAGAAACGTAGTTTTAGGAAAAATCTATTGAAAGTTTTAAGCTGTTATTTTCGTTTCGGGGAAAAAACGATCATTATTTGTTATAAGATATCGTTGACTTTTTTAGTCATACATTATAAACCAACTTTATCCTCTCAATGGGAATAAAAATTGTTGGATTTGTAAACTTACGGACATGATGGAGCATTTTCTGCAATTTCGATTTTCTGCAATTCAGAAATCTGCAATTTCGATTTTCAGATTCAACTTGACTTTACTTATTCCTAAAAAATCTACCTAAGGCTTCCCGTGTGCGATCCGAAATGTGGTAACGTAGAGATTTGTGGGTTGGATAAATGCATTTATTTGAGGGCACCTCAGCAAGACAAAGTCATTAATACCCTCCTTCCGAAGTAAAGTAAAAACAAGCATACTTAAAGAGAAAATCACTCGAACAATAAAATATTTTATTATTCTCTAGATTACCCTATTTCCTTTTCCTGACAAATAGATTGCGCCGCGAACTGAAACCCCTAAAATTGTTAAACACACCCTCCCCGCACGTCACCATCGATTAGTAGTGTATGACGTTTAATTAAAGTGAGCCCTAAAAAAAAGAGAGAGGGAAAAACAACTTACGTCCATGAACCGCAAAATCTTTGTCCCGTCTCTCGATATCCTGTGGACTTTGGTCCAGTTGGAGGGACCTTGGGTAGTTATCAAACCAGTGGCTAGGTATAGTCCGAGACGGGCCAAGATGAGCTGAGTAAATTTCTGAAGGTAGAACTAAGATGAATAAACTGGAAATCAACAGACACTGGTTCAATGAAGGTCTCATTTTGCACCGAACAAACACACGGTTACTTGAGCACACTTTTGCGCTCATACAATTTCACTCAGTTTATAAAATTAGGACCGATGCACAATCAGCACAACTTTGGACAGAGCATTCATTTCGACCAGTATAATGAAAGTTTACTGACTCCGAAGTAATATTGAGAAAAAGTGCGGGTCGGAACAGGAATGTCACGGAAAGTAGACAGAACGCGGAAAGGTATTCAAGAGGACACAGATGACTGGTTATTTGCTAAAGATGGAATCAGCGCGGTTTGCTTGAAGAGAGTGCACAAGGCTTGCGGATCGAAGCGCGGCTTTGGGTACCCACGCAGTAACGGACCATGACATTTCTCAATTTCACTCTCAATATCATTCGTTCATTTTTCCAATTGAAAATAGAACCAAGATACCCTCCTCGTCTGAGCTGCACTTGGTGTTTAACGCTTGAGCAGTCGATGGTCCTGGCTAAAGACAATGGGCAGTAGCGGAAGAGAGGAAGGAGGGGTGAATGACAGAGAAATTATTAAGTTTCAATTCGGTAAGCAATAATATGGTGCTTGACTACGGAGGATCAGTGTTGCCAATCTGCTATTCAAGGATGAGTTAATTAGTAGTTAGTTAGTATATTTTAAGACCTTAAGCTAAAAGACTAGCTCTATACTCGTTGAGTGGTCTGGAGTATTAGGGTACCGATTGATAGAGAGAATATGGACATGACACCCCTCCTCTTTCGATGCAGGCCCATCCGAAAATGGCGGCGCTTTACTCTGGTTTTTGAGAATGGGAGGAGGGTCATCCGCAGCTTTTTTCAGTTATCACTACCCGCACTTGCTGCCGACCTTAGCATATCCAGGATGATTCTTCTCGAAAATAGCACACGATTAGCCGTAAAACTATGTAAATACGTCGTAATAATGCACTTGAGTAAAGTTCTCGTTGTGATATGCACATAAAACTACATTCGGAATGATTTTGTATTGTTGTAATTGTATTTGTATTGTATTTTGTATTGTAAAATTGGCGAATGTACATATAACTTCACATAAATAGCTCGATGAATAAAATCCGATCGGGCGGCCGACTTTTCTCAAATCCTGAGTTTACGACCGAATTTTCCTCAAATCCTCATGAAATCGTGATTAAATCCTTATTGACCTCAAATCCTGATAGAATCAGGAAAATCCTGATGCTCGACACCCTGTTTACTTACAGTGTTCACCATTTTTGGGTCCTAAAGAGCTTCATGAAGCTGAAGATGGCGGAGCCAATCAGGGCTGGATTTACCTACTTGCCGCCCGTGGGCCGCCTGTATTTTGCCGCCCCCTTCTCATTCGTTTTGAAACATCAATAAAAACCATCAAATGAACGTGCCAACGGGGGAGGGGTGCATAAGACGCGTTTACTTGTGTTGAACACATTTTTTGGGAAAACCCTGTCAACACTACCAGCAAAAGTTCACGGAACTTTGCGCGAAAGTTAAGTCTCGTAAACCCATCTCTGTGTGGACAAGGCCTTCCATTTATAAGAAATGAACGAAAAAACTATGGAAGAACAAACATAAATGTGGATTAATGATTTTACCTTCCGCCGCCGCGCCGCGCAGACCGCACCGTGCTTGGCGCAATGCGTGAAGTATTCCGACAGTCTTGTAGGCGCTATGAGTTTCACGCCGACTGCTGCTGAACGCACTGTGTTTGACGCAATGCATGGAGTTTTCACGCAGTCTTGTAGGCGCTATGCGTTTCACGCTAATCGCACTGTGTTTGCCGCAATGCGTGAAGTATTTGTGCAGTCATGTAGGGGCTAATATGTGTTACTTGCCGATCGCCGCGCCGAGAGCTTCTCCTTTTCATCTCAAGTCCTCGTCATCGTTCCTCTCTAAGTCGCGCCGTTCCAGGCCAAATTGCGTGTTTGGTTTCTCTCTTAACTCGACTGGGGGTGCTGTCTCTTGTATCACTGAAATACGATAGAAGTAGAAATTACTATACTCTCAGAAAATTAGAGATTTTGTCGCCTTTTCTCGTTTAGAATTTTTATTTTCTAAATTCGAATTTTCTCTACCTACATTTAAAAAAATTTCAAAATTTGCCGCCCTCTATAGATTTTCCGCCATGAGCCGCGGCCCATGTGGCCACCCCCTTAATCCGGCCCTGTAGCCAATCGATACTCGTAGCCACTTTGCGATACCCTCATTATCATTATCAAAGTACTCTATGGAGTATCAATGCATTAAGTGAAATTCTGCGAGGAGCTGAGATATTGACAAGGAAGTAGTGCCTGAATCAAACCGGAAGTTTTTCGTGTATGAACACATTTTTTATAAGAGTGCGGCCTAAACTTCATAAAATCTTAAAACAGGCCCTGATATTGCTCAAAATTGACCTAAAATTTTTAAGGTTAATGCAAGGGGAAGGGGTAATTCACCCCTTTGCCCTCTCCAATCGATGCTTCTGACTGGGTACACATTGTTTCCATTGAAGCTCGACTCGATGCAGACAGAGCCCTCTGTGCTCAGGATCGAAGTTCTGTTCTCACAACAGAAAAGTTTTGTAAGTTTAACAGAGAAAGTGCAGGAGCCCCTGGAACAGAAGGTTCTGTCATCAGTATCAACTATTTTTTTGAGTGATAATTTAAAAAAAGCGCCTGTAATTTTTGGCTGTGATTATTGGAATAGTTTAACCAAGAGTGTTCCAGTCCCATAAGAGTGCAAAGCATAGCAAAAAACCTCACTTAAGAAAACAAATAATTTAAAGATGAGATACCACGTAAAAATGCCGCGTTTAATGAGAACAAGTTGAGCAGCCATTTAAAATTAAACAGCTTCACAGGCTATATGAGGCACAAGTAATATTACTTAGTTGCGTGAGCATGTAAAGAAAAACGATGCGATCAGATACTTGTATTGAGAGCGGTTGCATTGAAGTGTGAAAAATTGATTGTGAGATCATTTTGCGCGCGAGCGCTGATGTCGTTTTTGCTTTGTCATAGTGCTGTGCAAACACCAAAAGAATCGATCATTGATATTCCCAATACTCCACTAGTGTTATAGGCTTGATATATTACATGAGTCATATCGTTGGGTCGAGTCTCATTAAGATAACGTCATAACAAGTAGAAATCCTTTTGGACCACTCATTCATTATGTTACGCGTTCTGGGAGGGACCTGGCATGATATGTGTGTGACACATATGGAAGAGATATCTCTCTTCGCGGTGCTCTTAACGCATATTGTATTGCTCCATTTTTCATATTCTTCTAAAAATTATTGTTTTATATATATTCTTCTACTTGTAACACCGAGGCGCGCGCACTGTGCACACGTTTGAAGACATACATGAAAACCAAAACGCCTTCATTATATTACATGCAACACGGTCATCCTCTGAGCAGGAATAGTTGCATCAGGCCGCTATTAAAAATGCCCGGACCTCACCGAGCTTACGCAGTTTTGCACGACTGTGCTGTAGAATACTTCAGCTGTATGATTTAGAGGATCTCGATGAAATGAAGAAGAATGAGGAGAGATCTTGCGCAGATATTCGATTTTCTTTGTCGGCAGTGTGGTTTTAAATATACGTATGAGGTGTGCTATATAGATACCGGATTTTGGTGGAAACCAGCTCACCGTTCATCCAAAATTAGCTTTCCTGGACTTTCCTGAAAGTTGATGACATTCGGAAGAACTCTGCATTCGCAAAGTTGAAAAATGCAAATAACTAATTTTGTTGGCACACGGTTTGGAGTTCTACGATTTTTTAGGACTCCCTGCCAAAAAGTAATCACTTGCCCACAATCATTGTTTTTGGCAGTTGATTTAAATGAAAGCTTTCATTTGTTGTTTATTAAAGATCGTTTATCCATCATTTCGGTGCCCTTAACTTACCTCTTTCGAAACAATCCCCGTCAACATAATGTATTTCTAGCAACACCACTTCACTTCACTTCAAAAAACTCGTTTTGAACTCCTTGGCGTGGATCGTACATTTGCACTCAGCTCCGTAAACTAATTTTCCCAGATCTCTGCTGTTGCGTCAACCTCTTTAGTTTTTTCTACTCAAATCAGTGTTAAAAGGTTTGGACTTCTGCACAACAGCAGAAATGAAGGAAAATTATTTTACGGAGGTGTGTGCAATCCACGTCAAGGAGTTCAAAACGAGTTTTTTTTTCAGAAATAAATTTATGTTAGGAGGGGGGGGGGTTTCTTCGAAGGAGATAAGTCAAGGGAACCAAAGTTATGGGTAATCAAGGTTTTTTTAAACCTTTTTTTATTCCTGGGAAATGTGTCCGAATTTAAAAGGAACTTCGTCTGTTTTTTCCGCAAATCTGTATAATGTCGGGAGAAAGATAGTAAAGGTAAGCCCTCTCTCTCTAAGTGTTGTAGCAGATGATCACATAGAAATCAGTGGTCGGTCAATTTTTCTTGTATTTTTCTTTTATTCTAGTTTATTTTATCTTGTAAAATGGTTTATAATCATCGCAGATTGAGATTCACACAATCAGTGAAGTGAAAGGTCATTTCAAACGCCGCGGAGAATAAAATCTTTCCTCAGGTTTATGTTAGTATCTCACGTCTGTTTTTAGTTTCATTCGTGCTAGCAACGTTTCTGACGCTGCAGGTAAGATAATTTATCTCCTTTAAAAAAAATCTTCTCTTCGACAGCCTCGAATTTACTACCAACGCGCTTACTAAATATTTTTTAACAGAGTTTTGAGTATACCATTTAAAAATAACTCAAATAGTCGTCATATAAATACGTACAAGTAAAGGATGATGCACTTGATCGCAATTATTTAAACTTTAAAACAGGGTCTTCATTTCATGGTAATCAATATGTCGTACAAAGAAATATTGCATTTTAGGGCAAGTTTAAAAGAATTATCTGACAATTACACAAATTAACTATTTTTTAATCAAATAAATATTAATTTTCTTTCTGGCTCTTCAAATTAATGCGCATGTTGTTAAATTCACAAATTATTTGATTTCCATCAAAATTACGCCATATTTCTCTCAACTTTAAAAGTATTAGATTGGTCCTTAAAAATGACCCCAGTCTGAGATTTATACGTTTCTACTGTTTGGATGTTCCGGACGAAGATCATGTTTTGGCATCATAAACTATGCCTGGACAAACGTAGACAGGCGATCGACGATCTTCGTCTAATACCCGGCTATTGCCAGAAATGAATGAAAATAAGCGAAGGTGAGGAGACACAGTTTAACTAATAACAGAACATTCGTCAATATTCTCGAGGAAGTGCAAATCGATCTCTAAACATACCAGTCATATTGTGAATAATCTAAGAAGACTTTTTTTCCGTATCATATCATAAAAAGTACCAATACTTATTTTTTGTGTGTTATAAAACCTTGTTTGAATTTTTTTCCAGCAGTTTATTTTGCAAACACCTCTGTGGAGTAAAAGATCTCTGATAAAGAATGGCACATACCTCAAGAATCTCTCAACGAGGAAAAGGTCTTGTCTTTCCTATGTACGCGCCATTTTTATTCATTGCCATCTGCTCAAGTAAGTGATGGACTCTATAGGAGCCCCATAGTAATACTTTTTTTGAAGCGTTATCAAGCAAACAGAGAAATATGATCATAAACGAAACTTGCTGTATTGTTAAAATTTCACAAGTAACATACCATTTTTGAAAATTCTAAAATCACTTCATAAGCGTATAAGAGGACCTACCTAACTTGACAACTTGATAGGCAGAAAATCCAAACCCTGATTGGACTTTTATTTGTAATTTACGTGTCGATCTCTTCTCGAGAGAAGTTTATATGAAAATAAACTGGAAGCACTACCTTTTCGGTCTGCTGTTCAGAAATAAACAATTAAAATCCAAGAACGACTGGGTTTGTTATTCTGCAGATGAAACTTTGGAAAATAGATGTGATTTTCTCTTTTTTTATCGCAAATTTTACTAGCGTCATTTCGTAAAGTTTTCCATTGATGTTTTAACTCTATTTTAACAGTTTATAGTTTATCATCAAAATTGTCGTGCTTTAAGGTATTTGCATAAGGTACAGGCAAATATAAATCGCCGGCAGTGCGACTGCCACTAGTAAACAAGTAAAAAAGCATAAAATTCCGAAACCAAGAGAAAAAGAAGAGAGTACCTACTGATTATTTTGACTTGTATTAGACTAGATGCTTTTCCCTCCGTAAAAACATAGTATTATGTTTTTATAATCATAATTTAGGAAATAAATGACACATTCAGATGAGCGCCTGGTGCAATCCGAGATTTTAGTTGGGTCCGAGTCGGATAGGTAATTTAACTGATTTCGTGTCAAAGCCTAGAGTATCGCAGAAAAATGAAGGCGTTCCAAGCCAAGATCATGCGTTGAAGGGCAATTTTAAGGCGTCTATTTCCCGTCTTAATTCTTCATTTGTTCTTAAAGTAATTTCAGCAGAAAAGGCAGTGGCACCTTCAATGACCAGCGGAGATTCTAACATCAACTCGTCAGCTACAACGACAAACAATGTGGTTGAAAAAACTGCATCTCCCGCTGCACTCCTTGAATACGTGAAAAGTGTGAGCGGTCCTCTGGAGGAGGACGGATTGGTGTACCCGTTGGATTACTACAATGAAAAAGCTATGATGGAGGAGTTCGATTTTGAGCCCGCAGATTTTATGAAAAGACTCGCCAATTCTGCAGCGTCACACGGGACACCGCCCGCTCAATTTACGCAAGACATCTTGGATCTTCTTGCCCTGCAAAATCGATCTTTATCGGAACAGGTAATTATATACGTTTTTATTTCGAAGGGAACTATCCAAAAATGAATTAAATCGAAAGGAACCATATCCGCATAAGATTTGCATGCTTCATAGTTTCTTTTGATTTAATTCATTTTTAATTAGCAACGATTTCTAACCATATTTGGAGGCGTAATCACAACCGTGATCTCATCTGCAACAAATGGACTGCATTTTGCAATTTGGAAGCACAATATCTGTCTAACTTTCCCAAGTAGCAGTAATCGCGATTAATAGCGATTTTATCGGTGGCAATATATCGAGATATTATCGCATTAAAAATTGCGATGTATGGCGATTAAATCGCTACACATAGCAATTTTTGGCTCGATAAAATTGCGATCAATTTGCGTCGATAAAATCAAAATTAAATCACCATTTAGTTCGAATTTTCAGTTTCTTCGAATTTCCGTATTATGAAAATATTGTAAAAAATACAGGAAACTTAGCTCATCAAGCACTTCCTGTTGGAATCGATAAGATTTTCTCGTGCAAATGCTCCATTTGAAATATTCCTCCGCTATGAATGAACTCTCTTGGCGCGAACAAAAATCGTCGACACAAGTCGATCGAAAAATGAAATCACAATTCAATCGACATAGATTCAGGGGCGTAGCTAGGAAATTTTTCTGAGGGGGCCATGGGACCACCTCTCGTGGTGAAGAGAGCGGGGGGTGGGTGAGGAATGGAGGATCCCGTTTTTCTGGGGGGGGGACGAGATTTCTGGGGGGGAGGGGGCAGCCCCCCAGGGCCCCCCTAGCTACGCCTATACATAGATTCGATCGATATTGCCTCGTTCGAAAATTTCAATTTAAAAACCTCGAAAATAATTGGTTTCAAGGTCGACACCACTTCGATCGACATCGTTTTACTCGACACACTCGATCGAAAAATTGAAACACAAATCTACACGTTGAACAGGGAGGAACCAAGCCACAGCGGCTATTGCCATATTTAAGTGGACAATTTAATTTTTTGCTTGAAAACGGTTGTGCGGCTTTTCGTGCAAATTGAATATTCTCCATAGTACGAGGCAAATTCCTTAAAATTTTCGAGGGAATCCGCACAAACGTTCTCTCGTAAAATATAAATTGCCCACTTAAATTTGGCAATAGCTGATGTGGCTTGGTTCCTTTCTGCCTAACGCGGTCCAGTTGACATCGATTCGATCGACACATAGGTATATAGTTAGGTAACTTTTGTTTTAACCGCAACAACTGAGACGTTTGCGTGTCCACCATTTTAAGGTAAAATTGTAAATATTAACATCCTCTTGCACATTTTTTTTATTAAAGCATGGCCTGAGTCGCAATCATTATTGCATATATTTCTAAAATTAGCTAATAGCTCAACTTTTGATGGACCACCAAACATGATTTGATTTTAAATAGCGCGAACCGTGTTATTTCGTCATAAACAGAATGCGCCGAAAATAATAAAAATACCCAAAACATCAGAAAATCAACTTTTCGGAAATGGTGTGCACCGGCATGGGTTCGACACCAAGAAAATAAGACTTTTGAACGACTTGAGCGCACACCGGCCGCATCGCGGTATACGCGCAATGCATGAAGTATCCTACGGATTTGTAAGGCGCTACTATGCGCCGCCGTGCGCACCGTGCTGAATGCGCAATGCATGAAGTATCCTGCGGTCTTGTAAGGCGCTACCAAGCGGATCATGCCGTGCGCGCCAGTCCCTGCGTTCGACGCCACTATACAAACTTGCGGCGTCAGCGGCTTTCAACTTATGATTTTTAAGTTTTTGCACAGGTAGTTGGAATTATTGTCATTTCTAATGGTAAAACATTACAAAAAAACTCAATTTTTTTCTATTCATTTTCATATATTTTTATTAATAATTCTAAATAGAAGCATGCAAGTGAAACGACCTTTACGTGTAGCCTCCCTCGTTGCTTAGCGATGTAATGGCGTAAATAGGCAGATCCAGACATTTCGAACGGGGGGGGGGGGGGGGTGGAACTGAGTGCTGGCACCTAATTAGCTGGAATTTAAATAAATTCCTATAGCAGATTGCTCTAATTATTAAATTCTAAATGTTAAATTTTTAGTTATATTTAATCGTAGGTTTATATACATCTAAATTTTTTTTTTTTTCATCGACACTCTTTTTTTTTCAGAGCGAGTCGCCCAGCCGAAGTGACACTCCGAAACTCCTGAGCGAGATGCTCCTGAAAAGAATGACGGACGGTTGGAAGAGCGAGCTGAGTCGCCTGGAAAAGAAATACAACATCAGTTCGGAAGTTGCAGGGCCCGACTCCATCACCACGACGCGACTGGCGCTGATGTATCCTCATCTCATCAATTTCGGCCAGAAACCCTTCGCGGCTCCCCTCAACATTACGGTGGGTTTCTCAGGGCGCGATGAAAACTGCGAAAGGGGTTACGGCGGCTGTCGCACGGACTTGTACGATGCGAATATACCATCAATACTAGGCCGCCCCGAATTCGGTGGGCTCATCCCTCTAGTTCAACTTGACGAGATCATCCGCCGGATGATCATAGGGACGCACCTCTATGCGCTTCACAGGAACAGTGTTGACGACATGGTGCCCTTCCGAACCAAGTGCTTCTTGTTGAAGCGTCGCATGGAGAGGAGCCTCTTGTCCGAGGACAGGAGAGTCAGGTTCCTGCGCAGCAATGAAATCGTCCATAAAAATGGGACATTGCTGAGGACTTCCATCAAAAATGTCTACGATCGGATCCCGAAAACTTTCAAGGATAACATCGATTGGGATTTGCTCACCTGGGAAGTGCCGGTTTACGGCCTGACGCGTTGCTTACTCTAGGGTGACAACTGTAAGGGCCGATTATACGACCTCTGGTCAGGCGCTAGTCAAATGGTAGTTTGGATCTGACCAGAGCATAGGTGTGTACGACTCCCGGTTTTCTTCAGGTCAAGTCCCGGTCAGCCTTTGTTCTTTCTCAGAAACCAGAGGTTAGGCTGATTGGCAGATTGACTGCTGGTCAGAGTCTGACCACTGGTTTGGTGACCAGAGGTTGACAAGAGATCTTACAAACGGCCTTAAGTCGGTCCACAAGCTTACCTCACCGGTAAGAGCAGGGGATTTTTTTCTCCCTTCCTTTTTTTCTTCCTGCGCTCCTCCTCTTTTTTTCTTCCAATCTTCTATTGCGTCTTCTTCCTGACATAAGGGCGTAACTACACCTAGCAATGAACTCTGTCGTCCATAAAATTCAATGCTTTTCTGGGCCTACATCGAGATGTAGTTACGCCCCTTTGTGAGCCGGGCGACGATTTTACGCTCGTATTTTTTTATTACTACCTTCCAATTTTCTCTTTTTTTAACGAACCCTGTAACCTAACCACAAAGGTGTTTATGACCATCGATGTTAAGGCACCGCTTTGAAATATAAATGCAGATCACGATTGAGCAACGAATGTTTCCAGACTTAGAAAGCTGTTTTTTAGAAGCTTTTTTTGACGTAGATGTAAAACTTGTGTTAAGAACTTAAGATTAAATTCGTTCTAGATCTATATCCTTATTTCTAAAACTGTGAAATGACAATGGAAAAACTGGCGTTGCTTAAATTACAGTTACTTTGAATTAAAAATGTATTTTTATTTCAACTGAATGTCTTAGACGGCCGCTAGGTCCTAGAGCCACCGCACAGTGGTCTGGAAGCCACAAAAAAGGGAATGAGATCTTCCATCTCATGTAGGCCCCCATTTTCAAATATTGACATTTTGACTATACTTCATGCAAAAGAAGCCTATCTGTAATTAAAATTGAGTGCAGATAACTTCATTTGTTTGAATGGGCCTATTCGAGGATACTCTTCCTTAGCGATATCAACATTATTTTCTTCTTACTGTCAGTGACTTCATTTTACTCAGGATTCCATCAACTTTGAGGTTTAGTTTAAAAAAAAACCGAGAGCTACAAATTCTTGACAATTCAAAGGAAAGTCCTGTTTGGGGAAATGGGGGAGGGGGGGGTTGATGGTGTTTATGTAGTTCGCTTGAGGTACTAATAAAAAATGGAAAATGTAAAAATGAATTGCATATAGATAAGCTTGCTTAGGAAGGTTTTAATAAAATTCAGGTAATCATTTTCATTCTGAGTTGATCTCAGGCCCTGAATTGCAAACACGATGAAAACTTGAAAAGCTAAGTGAAGCATTGTGGAGTATTACCAATACTACCTCTAATTGAAAATCCACGTCATGATAAGACAGGTGGAAAAAATTTTAGAATTCATGGATGGAAACAACATTTTGGGATATTGGTCAGAGTAAAGTTGGGAGAGTCTCCACGGTAAATTTTTGAAGCACTGGGGACGCCATATGCACATGCATTCACCCCCTGCAAACCAGTTTTGGGTACATTTTTGTCGCATTTTTTTTCTTTTCTTTTTGTCATGGGAACGGAGTTCCCCATGATATTACAATCGTTCCGTTGCTTTCGCTATGGGATTCCCTATGCCTCTGCGACCTTGAGCGTTTCGCCCAGTCTCCGATTTTTGGTTGATTTTCCGATGTATCAAAAACCGTTGTATTTTTTAGCCAATCATGTCTCTACGTCAAGTTGTGTTGATTTCTAAAATTCGCTTTCAGCGAGTTTTGACAGAGAAATGCGCTTCATCCGTTGTCTCATATCGCCGCACCGCCGAAACCTCAAGGTCTTCTTTTGTGAGGCCCCGCTCAGCGTCCGAGATCACTTAACTGTTCTTTTTTCTCCATTACACCACGTGATCAGAGATAGCTCAGTTGTCAACGACGCCTTACTAGCGTTTTGATGACGTCCCTTTTTGTGCGAGCGGGGGTTCGAATCTCGTAGGAGACAATTAATTTTTACTGGTTGTATTGAATGTTTTAGACCAATCATCAAGCAATAATTAATACTTGGCAACTTAGGAAGCACATAGGTCCCATGATGCGTATTCGGGCATATGTGTAGAGTAAAAATATCATACGTAGGGTGTCCCAAAAGTACCGGGACTGGTTCTGTAACTTCAAAAGTAAGATAGATACAGACATGATTTTGATTTCATTTTAAAGATCAACTCAATACCTATCGATTAAAACCAAGATCAGCTCAATCGAATAAAAATTGACCGAGTTATGACAATTTGAAATTAGTGAGGAAAGTTTACCCCTACGGTTTTTAGGAAGATTTTTCGCTTACCAGGATTCAAAAAGTTAATATTCGTATCCACTTTCCTCCGAATCTTCCATAACTTCCTTTTGCTTTTCAAAGTACCGTCCATCAAACCGGATGCACTTTTTCATGCGCTCTTGCCACTTATCCAACATTGTTTTCCTGGATTCTTCCTCTGGGATGGAGTTGAAGAAGTTTTGAATTGCATTCTGGATTTTTGTCTTCGATACGAATCTTCGTCCGCGAAGCTCCTTTTTAAGCGTAGGAAACATCCAAAAATCACATGGAGCCAAGTCAGGGCTATAAGGGGGATGAGGGATTGTTTCAACTCCATTTTTACTCATAAATTCACGTGTTAAGCTCGATGTTTGAGGCCGCGCATTGTCTTGATGGAGTATCCACGAAGCTTTCAAGTCCGACCGTTTCCGGGAAATGTGCATTCTCAACTCCTTTAGTACTTTGCAATAATACGCACTGTCAACTGTTGTGTTTGATGGTACAAAATGTTGATAAATGACACCTCGAAAATAAAAAAACACAATAAGCATCACTTTATCGGCCGACTTTTCGATTTACGGCGATGAAGAATCTTCTTTAAAAACCGTAGGCGTATAAACTTTCCTCGCTGATTTCAAATTGCCATAACTCGGTCAATTTTTATCCGATTGAGCTGATCTTGGTTTTAATCGATAGGTATTGAGTTGATCTTTTAAATGAAATCAAGATCATGTCTGTATCTATCTTACTTTCGAAGTTACAGAACAAATCCCGGTGCTTTTGGGACACCTTATGTATACTTTACGCCGAAAAAGCGAACCTGAAACTTAAATGCGTTAACTTCCGAAAACCATTTATAATCCAACGAAAATAAATAATTGGTACATAACAGCTTTCTTGTATGCAAAGAAAATAATTAAAAATGTTAAAAAAGAGATGTCTACACAAAATTACATAGCCCCTTCAATTCAGAAGATACTACAAACGAACTGTACCTTAACATTTTCATATCCCAGAAGCTAACGTTCCCATGACGAATATTGCCATCGCTAGCGATTGCAAAATCCAACTTGTTTTCTATTGGCTTCAAGAGTCAAGACCATAGTGATGTTGCAGGCGCTTTTTCAGTCTTTAAGACGGAAAGTTCAGGCTAAACTTGCCGCCAAGACTGTAGCGTGGTGTATTTTGTTTAGCTCGAGAATCCCCCATAAAAAGACCATAAAATAAACTCTCTATTGGTAGCAATATAAATTAAAGAGCTAAAATTTTTGTCAACATGTATTATACGACTGTTTTCAATTCTCCTTCAGCTGCGTCCGTAGCAATTGTTGTTACGAATATGTTGTGCGTGCTGATCTCAGCTCATTACATACTTGACTCTCTGAAGGCGTTTTAAGTGCGAAAGTAGAGCACCCTGTTGGAGAATAACGTAAGTGAGATCGAATGAATCACTCGATCCCTTTTTCGTTCGTTCTTCGACAGATTGCGCTACTTGTGCACATTGTAAGCCTTCAGAAAATCGAGTATGTAATGAACTAAAATCAGCCGCACAACATATTCATAACTACAATTGCTGCAGACGCAGCTGAAGGCGAATTACTTTCGCACATAAAACGCTTTCAGAGAGTCAAGGATGTAATGAGCTGAAATCAGCACGCACAACATGTTCGTAACAACAATTGCTGCAGAGGCAGCAGAAGGCGAATTCTTCAGTTAGAAAAGGGTGTGTTAGGAAGTCTGCATGCAATTTGAGTGACTGAGGGCATTCCTTTAATCAAAATGAATCGAACGAGAAACAAAAAAGTGAATTGATTTACATATGTGAACCGATCGACACCAATTCAATGGACAAATAAATAACAAACCGGATCAAAATCAGTAGATTTGTACTTAGTAAGAAAATGTCAAATGCGGTATCTTGAAAAAAGGATCAGCCAAGACCTTCTTTTTTTGCGATTTAAAGTCTATACGTACCGTAGATTCACCCTCTGCAAACCATTTTTGGGTGAATTTTCCCCAATGCATCCCGCCCCCTTCCCGGGCCAAAAAGAGAAAAAAAGGAAATAAGCTGGTAAAGAGGGGAGGAGGGGAAGAGATAGAAAAAAGTGCTCCTGAAATTTTCCTGAAATGCCTTTAAGGCAGAATAGAAAGTTTAAATTTTTCTCTTTTTTTATTAGGGAGGAGGAGGGCGGTAGTGGATATTTACATCTAGGTTTGCCACTTTTCCGAGTTCCTGTGCTTCTCTCCCACCTCATGAGCCTGGTGTAGCTTTTAGCCGTCATAGTAGCTCTTATTGAAGTATCAGCGGGGGGAGAGAGGTGGAGGAGAATGTGCCTAGCCGCAAATCTTACAGGGCTCCACTTGCAAAAATGATGACACATGCCATAACTATACGATGGACGAGTCTACTCCGAACACTTGCGGGGGTTTAATATTTCATTTGCAAGCTGACGCCTTGGGTATTCAGGAAACTTGCGATTCGTTAGATGGGTGTGTGCTCTTGCTCCTTAACTTCTATTGAATGTCACAATGGTGAGTAAATATTTAAATTGTTCAGTTTAGTTAGTATGGTATCCGTATCTTAAATTTGGTCATCACAGCTTTTGCTGAGTAGAATATTTTAGGAAGAATCNTTTACTTAAAATTACTTTAAAATTAAAAGAACGCGTTTTGGAATGACTGTTTGATGAAATATTGCAGTAAAACAATGAACAATAATAGTCGGTAATAAATGAGCGCCTCATGAATTGGGGATCGAACCCACACGAAGTTCAAAGCGGGGGCATTCGACGTCTTAGACGACTCGGCCACCGCTCGACATGAGATCGTCGACGCGTATCTTGTGTAGATAAGTGTAGAGCTGATGCGCAGGCTACACAGCTACTGCGCAACCTCCTCGACCACTGCGCATCCTCCCGCGCATAGCGGTAGCAGTACCGGAGCATTCTGTAAACTCACTCACTTTTATAACGTGATTTTAAAAAAACCTGGGTCATTTTTCCAAAATCTGATTACAGCGGGCTCATCTACGGCCTATTACCTCTCGATTTACGCAAAAATCATGGAAATCGGCCCGGTAGAACGCTCAAACGAACTATGACAAAAAGTATAAATTTACATTGTTTAAATGGGAGAATTCGCAACTTTACCACGTAATATAAAAAAACCTGGGCCATATTTTGAAAATCTGAAAAGAGTTGGCTTATCTAGAGACAATTGCCCGTCGATAGCCGCAAAAATCATGAAAATCGGCCCGGTAGAACGCTGGAACTAAGCGTCACCAGTTTCGCAAAATTAGGAGGTCTTGGAGCTTATAGTATAGATTGAATGTCACAATGGTGAGTAAATATTTAAATTGTTCAGTTTAGTTAGTATGGTATCCGTATCTTAAATTTGGTCATCACAGCTTTTGCTGAGTAGAATATTTTAGGAAGAATCAGAGGGAGGGTTGAGTGTCTGCACCAGATAGCAGCGATTTTACTCCGTCTTGACATTTGATTACGTGATTAGTGTTTTGTATGTGTCAGTGCGCTTATTTACTGCGGAAATAAATATCCCAAACGTTAAGCTAAAATTGCGCTGCAAGAGGTATTATTGGTCAATTTTAAGTTTCAAATGCACAAATTCTATGCTGAAACTGTTTAAAATTTAATCTGGGAGGGACTTTTTATCTATACAATTTTCGGGGAAAGGCGTCCTGGACTGGACCCTTCTCTCGTCATCAGCAAATCCCCCTCCCCCCTTCGACTTACTCTAGATCCGCCACGCACTGTCTCCAAATCACACGAGTCTTAGAAAATTAACCTCTAATTTTGGTAACATACACAGCATTGGCATAGTGCAAACCGGCGGACGGCACTGTTCACAAGAAAATTGCACAGAATAAAGAAAGTATAATAATGCTTGCATAGTTATGGAATTTAAAAAGAGAGATAGAGGGAAAAAATCAAGTAGTTTGTGGTAGCTCAAAATTACGCTCACATTTTACTTTTTTGAAGCGAACTAAAAGCATCATTTTAACAAACATTTTTAAGTATGTAAAAGTCACGAACAATATTTTATCATTAAAGCTGCAAAATTTGCTACAATTTATTTCGAACAATACTTTCAAGCTAAAATGTTCACTCTAGGAGGCTTGCATCACTTTTAGGTTTTATTTTACTCAGGTTTGAATGAAATCTCCACATAAAAAAAGGATACTTTTTATGAAGGCTCTTTGTAATGTTACGTAATATTCAGGATATCAAAAGTGTGTCTTAAGGCCTTTTAAATGCTAGTTTAACCACCCTGAAAGTTAATTTCAATCCTCGGAATGTGAAAATGCTATGCCAGCATATTACTTTTTTACTAAATGAGTAGAGTGTGGTTAGATGCACGAGTCGTTTAGGCAATTAGGCAGGGTTGGTTATTAAACCATTGCGCCTTAAAAAAATTCAGTACCAACCTGGATATCTTAGTATAAACGGAAAAAGGCAAATCGAGCCCACTTTTCCTTTAAAAAAGCTATGCTTTTTGATGCAACACTAGTTATGCCCAACTAAAAAGGCAAAAACTGTGACCACGTTTTGGGACTAGTTTGTATCATATCATCGGCACATTGCACTAACTTGTGAATTGATGTTGCACCAAGCATATCTCTCAAGAAAAATTGTGCTAGAATGAGCTTTTTCTCTCTGGCGAGCATTTCAGTTTTATACTGATTTTCAATTCTCACGTTAACTAAATAATCAAAACTATATATTATTTACCTTTACGCTATTCTCACCATAACTTGTTGATGTCTAATCTTTTGAGAGTGTCGTTCTATACTGACAAGATGAAATACCTATCAAACAAAGGATATATAGCTCAAATGATTTTCACCATTGACTCATACATATCATGATACCTTGAGCTTGGCAATCAGAGAAGTCAAAGGTCGTCTCCGTCTTCAATCTACTGAAGTAATCAAAATTACAATCACACTTAGCTCACTCTTTAAACGTATAGGTATAGGGCCTCAGTCTGTTACCACTAGCGTCTGCGCGTAAACATCATATCTGAAGCAGGTAGGATAAACTCAAAATTGTTTATAAGTGTTTTGAAAAAGTAATGCGCTCCAAAAATTCATTAAGTTCTCAAGTACTTCGTGGATAGAAAAATGTGCTGTTTTTGTGTCTCCGGGTCTATTTGGGAAAGGAAATGTCCGTGTATGTCTGTCATTATAATATTTTTCACCTCAAGAAAGAGTTGTCATTAGGCATTTCTTAAAAATTAGGATATCATAGGCCCCTATTTCAGGAAGTTATATCTAGCATTGAGATTTTTCATATGAACCTGGTAAAAAAACTGAAGAAACAACCGAAAATATAATCGCGACTTATTCATGAACGAGGGTGGGCTGTGAGGTATCTCCGGTAACACAATTAAGCAACGTTAATTTTTAAAAATATGAAAATCCCTGCTATAGGATTGCTCCTGTGCTGCGGTTGTAGGCACAAAAAAATGAAGGCTCTTTCTTCCGCTGAAAGTGTAACGAGTGCGCGCCGAATCGTGTTGCTGTTTTGGCGGTGCGTTGAACATGCAAACACCATCACGAATTATATTCTAGTTATATCTCAGTATATTTTTTCCACAATTAGAATTCCTATCCCTGACTTTGTCGTAGATATTCGGCAAGTAACCAGAATTTACTTTCACCCAAGTGTCCATCCTTGATCGGAAAAGATTTGCCTCAACCTCGTTAAGCAAAAATAAGCGCACAAACATAAGACATTTCTCTGCGAAATACATTGATATTAATCTAATGCCCAGTTGGACTAAAATGAAATTGGTATTTTGTCAAATAAGGACATCTGAATTGACAAACACTAACAGACTGATTTTCCTCTCAATTAAGTTGGGAAATTTTTCATACGCCCACCGTATCCTTTGTGAAATTGTGACTGGAAAACTTGTGCTTGAGTGTCTAATTTTTTGCCATGTTTCGTGGTCCATAAATGTTCATCTCAGTTTGTAAATACAAAGAAGATAAACGTTAGAAACTAATTACAGTGTTGGACACTTGAAAAAAATGATCCTTAATCAGTGGTTTATACTAATCTTTAAGTTATCGTCGCAATGGGTTGGTTATCGGGTTGACTCAGCCTTTGATAACCTTTGCATTATCGATTAATTGCGCAGCAATACTTTGCCTCGAAATGAGACATTGTTTCAGATGAATCGAGGCGTTTTAGTCCCAGTTATTTCGACCACTTAAATCCACGAGTAATCGTGACACCCCCCCCCTCCATTCGAGTCGGCTGTATAGAAAGTGGGTGTTTTTCTCGTTGTCTATCTGAGATTAAAAGCGCCAAAAATAAAATAATATAATTACGACTAAGGAAGGTTCTCCGTACCACTGATGGCATCGATCAACTTCTACCGCACTTTTAACTTTAAAATTTGATCACATATCTGTGAGACAAATTCCCAATTGCATATTTCATATACGGACCAGTTTTTATGAGAAGATTAAACTGGGACTTAAGAAACGTCAAGATTCAAAATATTTTCGATATCTATAAAAAAATTCACAGACTCGCCTTGAAATTTAGAATTTTATACAGAGGCGTCGCGTACAGACAATATAATTTAAGTTTTAAATTTCTTCAGTGTAAACCTTGTTTAATTTTTCCTCTAGGTTTGATCATTAAAACAAGGGTTTTGGAGACGTTCGCTTTGTTTTAAGATGACGCACTGTAGAAAGAATGACAGATGGCTCATCTTCCACCCACATGCACTGTTCCTAGTTCTTGCCATTCTCGGTTCATGTAAGTTTTCAAGCACTCTGGAATAATATGTCGAACTATAGACCACGATGAGAATCCTAACATCATAAAGCACTGTCGCCTAATACATTTCTTTTTTTTTCGGGAATAAGATGAGCATCGGACATGGCATGATTGTTGTCGCGTATACCGCAACGCGTTAATTCATAGAGGTTCTCTATCTCCCTTTCTCCCATATTTTCGGTCTCTCTCTATGAATTTCCAAAACCTAGCATCGAGCAAGCTTCACTTACTCGTTGCTGTGATCACGTCATACGCATATCTTTATTATATTTTTTATTACCAGCGTCACGAGATGGATTGAAAGATAAGACTCTCTAAGGACCGAGCTCCTCTTTTTACAAAGGGAGCCGGGCCACTTCGTCAGTTCGTCTTGGTCTTCCACCTCGAAGTCCTGCACTTCGGATTTCTCACCAACTAGCACAGCCATCCATAAGTGCTCCGATAGTCAGTCTTTTGTAACGATTCCATCTTCTTCAAATATACGCGAATTCATACGTCATTCAAAAACCCTTTCGTCTATTTTTCTTGCTCTCCCACAAGTAACTTTACCGCCACGGTTAGGATTATTTTAGATGTTTCAGTCCGTCTAAAGCTTAACAAATTCTTCACCGCGACAATTGTCTAAAATAAAAATTAAAGAGAGAATATGGCGTTGTTAGTTATCATTTGAATTCATACCAAGTTAAACTCCGAGCATCTGAAAAGTTTTAAATTTTTTCCCGCTGTGGACCTATCTCACTTTCGCCTCGCGAGTGCCTCTTCCCGGGCCATAGATCAAACATTTGAGAAAGACGAGCTCATCTGGACTTGATCATCTGCCAACAGTCCCAAAAATCATAAAAATCGGCCTTACATATTTATATCTAGAACGAACTATGACAAAAAAAAAATGTCGTTTCTATAACTGAGCTGGATATAGTAGTTCCTATTTGCAAATGCAATTCAACTGTGACTGAATTAACGATTCACGAGCAACGTTGATCAAATGATCTCGGTAGTGCCCCGGTCTCCCGGTAACATATCACTGAAAGAATAATCTCGGTGTATTTACTAAGAAAGGGGTGAAATTACCAAGAATTCAGGGTTCTATTTGAGCCCAGTTTTTTCTTGGTAAAATTACCACTTATGGAATTGGTAATTTTACCGAGAAATCTCGGTAAAATTATTGAACTTTCTCGGTAATTTTACTGGACCTTGGTAAAAACGCCAATATTTTTAATCGACTGTGGTAGAATTACCGAGATAAAATGGCAAAGTTACCGGGAATTGATTACCAATAAAAGTGGTATTCTTACCTGAAAAAACAGTAAAAAACCGGTTTATAGGTAAGCTTACCAGTCTGTGTTGATAAAATTACCAATAATTGGTAAAGAAATTGAGATGGTAAAGGTACCAACGGACCTTGGTAAAAACGCCGAGAATTTTTTTCAGTGATCGATGGCCAAAAAGTGAAACCACGTACCTCCGCTTAAGACGCTGCGGACTTTCCGTCATACTTTATTATTTATTTATTTAATTTTATATTTTTTTTTGTAAAAAACCAGGCAACTTAATTTCTTAAAAACTTGCTAAATGTTTCTCCTTTATTAGCAGAATACTCTGTATACATTTTACGCTACATGGTCGACGAAAAAATAGAGAGACGCAAAGATTTTGAAACATTGCCAAAAGACGTGGTTCCGCCTTTTAGCCATCGATATACATAATACATACATATTAGGACCTTTCTGATCAAATAGCTCTATTAGACTATTAGAACGTTGCTAAGATTGTACTTACATTCAACCGTTTAGTTGGTAGAGAGCTGTAAATTTTGTTCTGGAATTTGCCTCAAATTTTCTTCCTATTTTCCTGAATATGTTGGTAGAGTTTATAATGTAAGTGATTTCGGATACCTGTAATAAAAGAATAAGTTGCACAATTTTAGAGACGTTGACATGGGTGTAAGTTGTTTGGTCGGAAAGGTCCTCATTGGATGATTGTACGGGGAGGCGAGGCTTTATTTGAATGGGCCTGCTGCAAACTTTTGTTGCAGAGCAAATAAGAATTGTCACTTTTAGAAAGTGTCTCAAAAATCACGATGAGCGCATCGGTAAAGTCTAAAATGCACTCCTTACTTCACAATTTGCGTAAGAAATCTGCGTTTTTTCGAGCTTCCCGCTTCAAAAACGATACCACAGCACAGGTGAACATTTCGTTAGAGGAGTCATTCCATCCAACCCCTGCTCGCAAGGATACTACGCAATATTCAACATAGCCGACGCCAATCCGCCAAAACGCATGTGACGGGACGATGATTCTAACCACCCGATGACAATCAGCATGTTTACATTCACATTTTTCTTGCGTTGTTAGATAGGTATCCGCCTTGCTTGACCTCGCGCTCTCCTGAACTTGTGCGCGAAAGCGTCGGCCATGTTAAGCAGGGATTGAGTGGAACGACTCCTCTAACGAAAGGTTCACCTTTGCTGTCGTATCCTTTTTGAAGCGGGCATCTTTAAAAAAAACGCAAATTTCTCACGTAGATCGTGAAGTTAGGAGTGCATTTCAGAGTTTGCCGATGCGCTATCGTGATTTTTAAGACATTAACTGTAAGGAACAACTCTTATTTTTGCTCTGGCAAAAGTTTGCAACAGGCCCATTCCTTATCGCAAGTTCAGAAATTATGAAGTAAAAAACAACAGTGACAAAGAATTGGGAAATAAAAAAAAATCAACGTATTTTTATTGAATTTTCCTCAGGCTTAAATGGCGATTTATTATTCATTTTTCACGCAGGCGTGGCGGAATCTCCTTTTCCCACTGTGCCTACGCGTACGGCGTATTCTTCTCCCTCTCACATTCCAACAAGCGACTCAGGAGAAAAATCTGCTGTACTTAGTCTGCTCACGGGCAATATCAAGGCGGCGACCTCCACTACCAATGAGTCCGCGACTACGTCCAATGCTGTTATTGAAAAAAACGCGAGTCCTGATCCAATCGTCGCGTATATGAATGGAGTAACCGGACCCTTGCAGGAGGACGATTTGGAGTACTCGTTAGATTACTACAATGAAAAATTTCTGATGAAGGAGTACGAGTTTGAGCCCGCGGACTTTTTGAAGAGACTCGCCAAATCTGCGATGTCGGAAGGAACGACACCAGCACAATTTCTTCAAGAGATACAAGATCTCCTGTCTTTGCAAAACCGATCGCGGTCTGAACAGGTATTTTCTTCTAAATAATACAATTTTTGATGAGCTTATTACTTGTTTTAATCCTAGTCTGACAGGCTCATTGTAGGACATCTAACATAGTCAGATGACAACATTGGCACACATACATACATACACTTGGATTGCATTTTGCAAAAAGGAACCAAGAGCATTTCAATGTTGCTAGGATTGTGCAACTTACATTCCTTGCACTTAAATTACTGATACCTCGCAAAAAATTAAATTTACTTTGGTAATTTTCGTATTGAATTTATAGTTCATCGAAAGTAACGATAAAACTTGTTTAGATGCTAAGTTTATATTTGCAAGGTAAAAAAATTGCACAATCTTAGCGACATTGGAGTACTTGTGGTTCCTTTTTGTAAAATGCAATTCACTTATTTAGCACATTAGGGGGCTCCACTCCATGGTTGTTCCGCGCCCAAACCCTCGGAGATTTTGTTACTGCTAGCCTGATGAGCACAGCCAAGAAAGTTTAAAGAAACACAATTCAGCAAAAAAAATTGCAATAAGATTTACATTTTCCGATGAGAAACTAATATTTTAGGCTCTCGTCATATTTTAGGTAAGCAGAATAAGTATGTATCATCCCAATGTCTCCCTCCATTAAAAAGAATCAATTTATGTGGCGCAATTCTCTGTTTGCAATGTTATTTTCCATTTCCCCCTTTAGAATTGGCATCATCCGAGAACACTCTCTCCATAACTTCCGCTAGGCTCCTCAGTTAACAGAGAAAAAATATTACAAACAAAATAACGCAGCTAGCATAAACCAACTGAGATGCCTTTCTGAGAGAGGATAAGCTCGCCATTTGAATAATGCGCAGAGCGTAAAACAACGGAAGAATACGCCAAGTTGGGTTCGGACCTATCGTGCAAGTATTTTAAAACCACGGCCGACCGCCAGGTTGCCTACGCTCGATTTTGCGGGCGCAACTTGAGATCTGCCCACGGCTTTTGCGAAGCATGTACTAAGTTGGGTTAGGACACAACATGCAGCTACTATAATTCCGCGGTGGGCCGAGTTGCATACGCTCGAGGAAAACACTGATCACACCTAAACCCTATATGCGCTATTAGTGGCGACGTCATCATAGGGATTCTCCATTATATCGAATTGGATTCCAAACAATAACATTGGCATATAACCTCTTTCAATGCTACCAATGCGAATAAATCGACACATATCGCTTTTTTTTTGACGTGCCACAAATAGTGTCTATCTCGAGAGCTGTAAATCGCGAGCGCCCGTAGGCCGTGGACAGATCTCAGATTTCGCCCGCAAAATCTAGCGTATGCAACCCGGCCCACCGCGGAGTTAAAATAGTTGCATGTTGGGTTCGAACCCAACTACACATATTCCGCCATTGTTCTCCGCGTTTTTTTTGAGTTGAAAGAGCGTTCCATTAAAATAAGAAGCTCCGATTTTATTGAAATGCCAATTACAAACATTTTTAATCGGCAAACCGGTAGAAGTGTGTGTGACATAAAGCCTGCAAATGCGAAAATGTAATTCAAATGTGGAACTTAAATCAAATCTATAAATCAGATGGTGGATTAAGATTCACTACCGTGCATTGCTTTTTCCGTAATTTAAATGAAGCCCATTACATGTGTGGGAAGAGAGTTTTAAATACATAGAGGCAAAACTAGAAAACGTATTTGAAGTAAAATATAAGAATAGAATGGTGGTGATTCCAGTTCTTAACAATTTCTATTTACAGAGTGTGAAATGCCCTGTGATATTGCCCTGGGAAAGTTCGTCTGTGGCGCAGCTTCTTGCATTCAATTTTTCTTCCTTTGACAGGGTAGGCAATGTGCGCCCTTAGAAGTTTGATTAGTAATATCAGAATCACGCTGGTCTTGTTTAAAAGTGTTACCATCCATCTGAAGATATGAAGAAGGGACTGGGGTGCAAGAAAAGATGAAGCTCGACTTCAAGTTGCTGAAGTCAACTTTGCAACCTTGAATTGGAGTTAGTTCTCTTCGTCTAGAAAATGATAAAAAAGACACACGTTGGTTGTTTCTCCACTAAAAAAACGTATTTTCTTCTTTAAGGATGATGCAGCTGGCCGAGAAGACGCCTCCAAAATTCCTGCCGGCTACCTGAGCGAGAGCTTGCGGAAAAAAATGACGGAAGGCTGGAAAAACGAGCTGAAACGTCTGGAAAAAAAATACAATATCAGTTCGGAGAGCGCGGGACCTGACTCCATAACTTCCACAAGGTTATCGCTACTGTTCCCGCACTATATTAATTTCGGCCAGAAACCATTCGCGGCTCCGGCCAACATCACGGTGGGTATTTCATTTGCCCAGAGACAGGTGTATGATTCTCGCAGAGGAAATTATTATTACGAGACTCCCGACGCAAATATTCCATCAATTTTAGGTCGCTCAGAATTCGGTGGAGTCATTCCGTTGGTGCTGCTCAGTAAACCTACCCAGCGGATAATCATAGGCACGCACCTCTATGCCCTTCATTGGCAGGACGGTAATGACATGGTGCCCTTCCGGACCAAGTGTGCCTTGCTGAAGCGCCGTATGGAAAAGAGCTCGCTATCGGAGGAGCGGAGATTTAGGTTTCTAATCAACAATGAAATCATGCATAAAAATGGAACTTTGCTGAGGACATCGATTAAAAATGTCTACGAGCAAATACCGAGTACTTTTAAGGAAAAAATTGACTGGGATTTGCTGAGTTGGGAGGTGCATCTTTGAGGGCTGAAAAATATATGTCTAATAAGGTGGTAGCCAGGGACAAATGCGGCGAAGTCTGACAAAATGTGCCTTAATGTTGGGGCAAAAATGAGACAACTATAAACTTATAAACTACAGCTAAAGAGGGTTTGATTTCGAATCGTTTGGCGCAAAGAGCACCCAAATGGACTACATTTTGCAATAAGGAACCACTGTTACTGACTCCTTCTAGATACAATACGTGTGCCATTAGTTTCTCTATTCAGATAAATGCTTTTATAGATTAGCCAGAAATTGTAGTTTCCTATTGCAAAATGTAGTCAAAATATTCCACCAATTAGCCATTGGTAGCAATTCAAAGTCTTAGGACGATAAGTAAGGGGAATATGAGAAGGTCTGAAAATTTACCCCTGTGATCTTGATAGTATTCAGGAGTGTTCAGCATCGAAAAATCAAAATACTCTTCTATTTTTCACCCCAAACCGGTCTTTTTTTAAAGGCACTGGACATTTAAAGTTCCACCTCAGTGCTTGGCACCATAAAAAAATAGATCTGATGGTTTTCGAACGGTTAGTAGAAACTTTTTCTTTTGGGGCACGGCCAAGTCATCCTTGAGAGGGAGTATATTTTTGTTCCTTTTACCCTTGAAAAATAATGTAGGATCCCTGAGTGAAATATCACCACTAGAGTTAAAGCCTTTTTATGAATTAGAGCTCTTTAGAATATTTTGTCTTGGACTAAACAACTTCATTTCTTCACGTTACTAGTCGCAGCCTTGCCAAGTGTTGCTCAAGGGTAAAATGGAGGTGAAACGCCCAAAGTTTGGGTACGTGAATTCGCGTTCCAAACTGTGTACCTAAAGATACGTGCTAAACATTTTATTCTATTCCTGTCTTATAGTGCAAAAATTTTCCAATACACATTTTTAATCACTTTGGAGTTTTTATTTTCCCTTCTATTTAAACTATCAATAGTTTTCATGCATGTCAAACGAGCGATCGACGATGTATATTCTTTGGTTTTATTATTATCATTCTCATCAGTGTTGAAGAGATTAATATTCAAACCTTGCGCGCTATAATATTGCCCAAAAAGGAAATTTACGAAAGCTTTGCTATTTAAACTTCCTCTGGAGATTACTCGCTTTGTTCAAGATATTCTGTGGAATGTTTGGACAAAACGTTTAGATATTTTCTTCAAAAATGATTAAATAAACCGGCGCAGACATGATTCCAGACACCAACCAATTGCGGTGAACGCACGGGTCGAAAGACGAGATGTTGGAGTTTTTTAGCCAACGTGCGTAATGAGATTTCAGCTTTAAGCTGAATTTTTTACGCACGTTGGCTAAAAAACTCCAACATCTCGTCTTTCGACCCGTGCGTTGGAGAATTTGCACGCAATTTTTTTATTGCTTCATCTGAAGGTGCCTAATGAGCTGAGTTCGCAATATTTTTCATAATTTTTTCTGACATGGGGAATTGGAGAAAAATTGATTTAAAAGTGAGAAAATGTGCCGCCTTGTGACGTCATCTGGCGGCATTTCCCATTTAAACACATGTATTTTAGCAGAATCGGTTATTTTGTCATATCTCCTCTAATAATTGCTCAATTTATGAATCAAGGGTATCTTCGTGTTCAGTTCACTCAGAGGATTCCACTTAAACAGGAAATTCATCAAATTTCAGACCCTTGCAAATTCTCCTGGTGTTTGTCGCCTTGCCAGGTATTATGCGGAGCTGTTTGGATAATCGCTCACTAGATGGCGCAAGTTTACTTGTCGCCGCGTCCGCTTGCCCAAGTCTCGGACTGGTTTTCATGACCTCTCGAGATTAGTAGCAGACAATTCAGGAGACTGCACCGCACTGAGGATTGGCCTAGCTAGGCCGAAACGCGTCTGTAGTTGCCTTCCAGAATGGACGTAACTAATGTTGCTCCAAATAGCATATCATTTTGAGGGTAAATTGGGCTCGTGTGCGTGGGCTTTTTCCCACTCTAATGAGATTTCAGCTTACAGCTGAATTTTTTACGCACGTTGGCTAAAAAACTCCAACATCTCATGATTCCAGACGTCGCACGGTGGATCGAGTCAATGGTAGAGGTCGGTCATGGGTGACAAAAAAAAAAGTCTGATTTTAAATATTTTTTCTTGGTTTTCTAGTAGTTAAGCTTCCAAAATGAATGTATCCACGGTTCTAGGATCTTTGAACCCTTCCGCTTTGACATGCGGGTTGCCTATAGCTGACATTGCAGGTGGTATCAAATTTGACGTCTAATTCTCAAGGTTTTATTTCGCTTTTGCATGAGTTCTGTGGCAGGTAAATCAAAATTTCAATTAAACATGCTTATTCTCCTCCCTTTAAAGAACATTTTGGTATATCATTAATGTGCATTGGTATATTTTTATGAGGACCAAAACCACCTCCAAAGCTTGCTTTAAAAAAAACGCCCAAAAAAATGTTAAAATAGCTCGATAAAAAAATGTCCACAAGTGTCCGCAAAATCCTTTGTTGGGTTGCCTCCTGTACACTATCAGGAATGATATTATGTAATAATTAGCCGCTAATATCCGCTAATCTGCGAAAACGGTCCATTTGAATGATAGGAAGTCGCGCCTGCTGGGAATCCGATCTTGCTCTATTGTCATCAATAAAATCGTGCATCACACGATATTCTTCAATTTCGATAATTTTTCTACTGATTACTGATTTTGGCTTATTTATTGATATTTTTGGACGAGACATTAACCTTCTGTTAGTCTTTGTAGCTGATTCGATCAGCGTTATACTGTGCTATAAAGTTTAAGGTGTATGTTTTGCGCATTGTATATTTCACACGTCCCGTTTCTTGCAAAATGTCTTCAACATACCTAGAACTCTTTCATGAGCTCCATACAAATAAAATTTCAACTCCCCCCCCCTTGGAGGATGACAATACTTTCTCTACCCTAGGGTAGCGAGAAAGTAAAAATTGGTTGTGGGTTGAAAAAGAAGAAATACGAGAAATTTCTTCATGAGACAATAGTCCTTCTCAGAGGTTCTTCAAGGGATCAGAACTTGCATGAAAAATAAATTTCCTCCTATTTTAATATTTATTCAATAAATATGTTTCAAACTTCACTCCAAACATCGAGGAACAAAACAAAATAATGGAAGATGATATAATTTTTTTTTTTCTCTGCACATTCAATCTTTTTTATCTGGTGATAAGTACCTATAATAATCTTCTAGGATGACTCGATAAAAAGAAGCTACAGTATATACATCTCTTTTTTATTTCTTTAATATATTGATCTATTTTTTGAAATATGCATATTTGTTCAATAACTGAAAGAGTAGAGAGTTCATAAAAATGAAAACGTCTATTGACTGGCTGGAGGAAAAGAGAAGAAAAATGAACATTATCAGAATGTTCCATATGTGTCAGTATGCAATTGCGAGAAACCAATTAACATGAAGAAAAAACGATGTTAGCAAAATTGAAAGAAATATGGCAACCTTCGAGGTGAGGGGGCTGTAAAGCCGCCCTCCCTCACTCCTCAAGTAATATTCTTGAGTCAAGTTCTGCAAAATTATTCTTTATGTAAGATGCTTACGGTCCCATTTGCCAAAAGTAACGTGAAAAAACAGCTATCAAGGATCCCAATTTCAATAGTCATGAAAAAGTGTGTCAAACTCGTATTAAAACTCGTTATTCGGCTGAAAAATGATCAAAAATGGAATCTACGACGAAAAATACATTAAATAAGTGTAATTTGCTCTATTCTAAGGGTGGGAAATCTCCGTAATCAGAGAAAATAAGACGCGTGATACGCGATGACCGACCCCTCCCATTGACTCGATCCACCGTGCGTCGCGTCGCACGATCAAGATACGTGCTCGATCGGAATAAGATGGAGAGGGGGGGGTATTAATACCTTACATATATCCAAGGCCCCCTGAATTCCAGCCCTTTAACTTGAAATTTCAATAACTTGGGACCATGGATGAGTTTAGCTCCAACAGTTACTTACTGGGCAGTAGCAATGTCCTTGATCTTTGGTCGATGACAATCGCGTTTAGGGAAACGATGACCTCCTCGAAAAACTCCCTGAGAAATTAATCAATTGGAAAATATTGAGATAAAGCGCACGATATCAGAAGCTGTAATAATTTTGTAGGTAATTATGTAATAATTATGTATAATAAGTATGCATACTTAATAATTACGTTTAATAATGAGTCACTACTTCCTTTGACATTTTAGCTCAATTTATATAAGCTCTGTTGTTAATTAATGATATAGAAATAATGAGTGAAAGAAAGACCTACATAGTGCGAGAATATGTTGCTTGCCAATTTTTGAAAAAATTAGCCATTGTATGACCAACTTACTTTTGCCATGTGTGAACTTTAAATGAAAGAAGTCAAATTTCAGTCCTGAAACAATTTTAAATCGTATATTAGGCCGTAAAATCTAAAATGGTTGCTGAGCTTGACGTGAACTTATATTATAAGAGGTCCTAAGCATATGGCTTAATACGCTCGTACACAAGAACACAAGGACTCTCCAATTTTTCAGTCTTCAGATTGCCTTAGGCATTGAAGTATAACATGGAAATTGAAAAAAACGAAAATCAGGCATGATAGAAATAATTTAATCACACCTGTGTAGAATGAGCCTTGTGAGGCGACGACTAAAATAAGAGGACGAAATTAGGAAGCGCAGAACTTGATTACTTGAGGACTTTTTTGGTGAAGGGCGTAAGCCTTTCAATTTTTCTAGGATTGTGGGTTTTTTTACAGCGTTTCCAGATAAAATTCATTCTTAGTCAACCTATGTTACCTATAAGACTGAGGACCTCAAATAACCTAACTATAAAATAGACGCTAAGCTTCCAAGGGACAGGGGGAACTCATTGAAATTATAATGTACTTATAGGATATTTTAAATTAGTATGTAAAAATAGGCCTTCGGGCAAAACTCTGTCAAGTTTTGTTCCACCCTGTATTAAATTAAATAAATAAATTGGTTAAAGTTAAAAAAAAAAAAAAAAAAAAAAAAAAAAAAAAACCTATGTTACCTTGCAAAAGTGAGGAAAAACTCGGAGCAGATTCAGGGAAAAATTCATTGCAGAACTGTTGGAAAAGTTACTCACAGTTGGAGAACTACGTACGTTGCATAATCTTAGCAGCATTGGAAGTCTTATACGCCCTTTTACCGAAACATGCCACAATATATGTACGAGTAGATTCGTTAGACGGGATTACTCGTGATTGCATTTTAACGCCGACATCACCATACACCCTTACTGAAGTTGAAAATATTCCAATCGATTTTCGACGTGAAGCCACTGGGAAGGTTTCTATACGCGCGATTCAAAGACGATTCTGCAGAAGTTCCGTTTGCATCAGTGACGTCGTTATTCATGAGGAATCTAATCCTGCGTGCATCTGACAGCACGCACTTCTGCTTCTGCATGTGCCACCGCAGCATCACGCATTTCGTGCGGAAGGGCATCGCGTCACTGAGGTCACGCCCGTGCGCGTAAAGAGCGTGGAGGTACAGCCCTATAAGAGCTCTCTTCTCGAGGCCTAGGTACACACAGGGCCGGATTAAGGGTGGCCACATGGGCCGCGGCCCATGGCGGCAAAATTTAGGGGACGGCAAATTTTGCAATCTTTTTGAATGTAGGTATCAAAAAATGAGAGAAAACAATCGGATTCAGAAAATAAATTACAAACGAGGGAAGGCGACAAAATCTCTCATTTCCTGAGAGAAAAAGGTACAGTAATTTCTAATTTTGTCGTCTTTCGGTGATACAAGAGACAACATATTCAATTAGTCGAGTTAAGAGAGAAACAAAACACGCAATTCAACCTGGAACGGAACGGAGCGGCGCGGCGGTCGGCATAAAACACATAGCGCCTACAAGACTGCATGAATACTTCACGCATTGCGTCAAACACACTGCGGTCAGCAGCAGTCGGCTTGAAACGCATAGCGCCTTACATGAATACTTCACGCATTGCGCCAAACAGTGTGGTCAGCATAGCGCATACAAGACTGCATGAATACTTCACGCTGCGCCAACACAGTGCGGTCGACGCGACGGTGGAAGTTAAAATTTTTAACCACATTTATGTATGTTCTTTCATAATTTTTTCGTTCTTTTTTATAAATGGAAGGCCTTGTCCAAACAGGGATGGGTTTACGGAACTGAACTTTTGTTCGTGTTGACAAGGCTTTTACAAAAAATGTGCCCAACACGAGTAAACGTGTCTTATACACCCCTTCGCCCTCGGCACGTTCACTTGATGGTTTTTATAGATCGTATTAGACAGATCACACAGGTGACATTATATTGATATGGATTGGTTCAATATGTAACCAAAGCCTCAAAAGTCACTTTAGAAATCTGAGGTAACGGGTCTTATGTGATCGAATTTTTTTTTCTCTCGAGTACGAAATGGCAATGAAAGGTGAAATTGTTAGGAATTTTCTCATTTTCAGCTTTTCCAAATTAAATCCTAAAATTTTTGATTGAGGCTATGTTCTATTGTTTTGGACCAAACGATATATCCAACCACTGTCGAATACAATCTAATGATTTTTCAAAACAAATGAGAAGGGGGCGGAAAAATACAGCGACCCATGGGCGGCATGTAGGTAAATCCGGTCCTGGGTACACACGGCGATTAATCGCGACGATTGAAATACGAAAGCCAATGGAGAGACTTAATTTCGATCCATTGACGTCGATATATCGAAATCAAGGCTTTCCATTGGCTTCCGTCTTTCAATCGCCGTGAGTATCTAGGCCTTGAGATGAACAGCTTCCGTTTGTGAAGCCCCACGAGAGGGGTATGAGCCCGCCGAATTCCGCTCGTTTGAAAAATCCCGGCATCCTGTCGGGGTTGACCTCGGGTGAAACCGCGAAAGGGGTAAATCCGACCCTTCTAATGGACCACTAGACAAGGTACGAATTTAAGCATTCTGATAAATGTTTCTCAACCAAAATTTCACGCAGAACACGATTCGCGCAACGAAAATGACTGAAAACAACTCCTATCGAAGATATTCCCGTTTTTATTTCATATTGGTCATGAGGAATTCGAACTGCCCGCTGACAAGAAACTCAAAGGTCTACGTGAGTCAAATCGCGCCCTACAACGGTTTCAACAAGCTTCTCAATCGAACAATGTTCATTTCCCACCATGTGTTGTTCAAACTGTGAGCAATTTGCTGTAGCTGAGCGAGCCAAAGTGTCAAGATTGAGGTTGCCAGATTTGTATATCGTAAAGACTGTCATGATAACGTTTAGCGCGCGATGTGAATCATGTAGAGCATTGAGTTTTCATGAGCGGGTGGTTTGAATTCACGCATCAGGAATCATTAAATATCTTCGTAAGGAGTTTATTTCGGCAATTTTCGTTGTGCGCATCGTCTTTTACGTGAACTTTTGGTTAAGAAGCATGTATCAGAATGCTGAAATTCGTACCTTATCTAGTGGTCCATTTCCTCGATCCGCTGTGCGCCGCCACTCCGCCACTGTCTTCGAAGGGAGCAGTTTTATAGCAGAAAATCTAGCATATTGTGATGTTTAATAGACAGACGTTTTCTCAAAATATCCTCCGTAGCCTAGTCTACATTTTACTCTTTCTGGGCCGACGTCGCCAGTTGCTATGCTCCATAGGGAATAATTTTGATATTTTGTAGATAAAAGTGCGTAACATTCAGGTGTAAACAAGCGGTGAACAAATAATGAGACCGGGAAGCTTCATACTTAAAATATTTTTATTCGTTCTAAAATGTTTCCCCACAAATTAAATTTTTTAAACTGACGATCCAAAATTATATGCATCAGAATCCGCATACCTTTTCTTAAATAGATCTTTCCGTTAACTTTTATATGTTTCAATCTTCCTCTCTTGGTGAACTTCTTTCAGGATCAACGACTGACAGTGGATCGATGGAATTTTCTCCGAACTCAAAAATTTTCCAGTTGATTTTCGATTTGAAATCAGAAGGAAGATTATTATACGCTCTTTGTAAAGACGATGCCAAACTACCTAGAGTTGATTCAGTAATGTCATTGTTATCAAGAAATCTGATTCTTCGTTTGTTGGATAGCACGCACCTTTGCATGCGCATTCGTAGCAATACGCACTTCGTCCGGAAGGGTATCACATCATTTTGCTCACTTCCGTAAAGTGCGAACAGATGCAAGGCTATAAGACGTTTGACGTTGGTTTGAGAAAGGTAAGCTGATGGAGCATCCTTCCGTGCGAGAGGAATCATTCCACCAAATTCCGCCCGTTTCAAGAAAGCTGGCACCTCGTAGGATTCGTCAACAACTTTACTAACATACACTGTTGATCGTGAACGGCACTGGCCATAATTGTTCATATAGTAAGGATCACAATCGGGCTCTGTTGGAGCTGGTGTTGTGGTATGGTAGTCATTCAGGCGTAAGTTTATCTTGGACCCTACTGCGAATGGTCTCTGGCCGAAGTTGAGGTAGTGCGGAAACATGAGGGCCAACCGCGTTGGAGTTATCGAGTCCGGGCCAGTACATTCTGAGCTGACGTTGTATTTCTTTTCGAGTCTTTTCAGCTCGTTCTTCCAGCCCTCGGCCATTCGTTTGAGAAAACTCTCGCTAAGAAGTCCTGTGTTCAGCTGCGAAACCTAGAAAAATACAAGTTGAAGTTAATATTTTTTTTGGGGGATCGGTCAAAAATTGAAGGGTAAGAAGTCGAAAGAAAGAAAGAAAGAATGACGGGAAAAAACCTCTACAAAAAATAGTTTTAATCTTTTTTCATGGATCTCATCTCACATAAAATGTATGCGTCAATCTTGCACCGAAGCACAGAAAAGCAGAGCGCGGGATTGTTGGATATCCATCATATGATATGGACATTTTCAATTAATTGTGGTAGCACTCCGAAAAATTAGGTTACCATCTCAAATGTAACGGTGGGTACTAACTCAACTTGAGTTGCAGTACTATACCCCAGCTTGAGTTGCGGTGCTAGCTCAACTCGATGAGTTGCAGTACCACCACAAATCATTGGTAATGTCCATGTAATTCAAGAAAAGTGGGGCAGTACCGCAATTTAGGGGAGAAACCCCAACACTTTTTTTCCTTGATTCTTGCAATGATCGCGGAGAAGAAAGAATGACTGCCTTTTTAATGCTCATGGTCTCAGAACCCAGGTCCTACCTAATTTCTAGTAGTAGTTACAACGTTACCTTCGTGGCAACGAATTTCACGGTCAACGTTAAAATACTGACCAGGACGGCACTTTAACTAAGGCCAAACAAAATGTTACCGCAGAAGTAACATTGTAATCATTACGACCAGAGAGTAGATGGGACCATTGACCAGGTCCCCTGCGACAGGACCTGGCGTTCACTACGAGCCTTTTGAGAGTCACGATTATTCCTTCTTTTTTATCTCACTCGTCACACTATTCAACGCCAGAGCTCGCATGAAGAGAGGAGCTACGCACAGACATGACTTTTCCTTGACTTTTTAAATGGAAAACCACTCAACACCGCAAATAAAATACGTGGTCTGGTATTTTCACCGTCGATTTGCTTTAAAATTCAAAGCACCTGAACTAATTTTAAAATTCAACATTTTTGTTAATAATTTCCGATAGAAATTGTTTAAATACCTCATCACGAGTAGTGCTCTCGTCCGGCTCAGTCCGAGATCGATTCTGCAAGGAGATCAGATCTTGGATCTCCTCCAAGAACGAGTTCGGCGGAGTGTTATGGGCCATGGCGGAGTCTGCAAGCTTCTTCACCAAGTTTATTGAGTCGAATTTGTATTCTTTGATCAAAGTCTTTTCGCTGTAATAGTCCAGCGCAAACTCTAAATCAAAATCTCCCAACTGATTTGTCATACCTGATGTGGAGAAAGAAAAAGAGGGAGGGTACAGTAATGATTAAAGTATGTTGAAATAAATTACAATGGATCGTTTAAAAACTAGCAGCAGCGCTTGCAAACTTAAATTGCGTTTTTCTCGAATTCGCGACGTGCCGTTCCCCAACTTTAAAATGCTCGCAAAAAGTCCATTCGTCGTTTCTGAGGAGAGAAACGTAACAACCACGTTTCAAAGTTGCAAAACTTCCACTCGCACATTGTACTTTTGCCACTAACTAATTGGAATTTCTTTAACTAGAAAAACGCATCTTGGGTGCTATTAATTTAAAATGAGAATGTATAATGTATACTAAAACACGCTAGGTTTAAGTTTTTGAAATTGTTAAAAAAATTTAAACATTTTTATGATAAAATTATAATAAAAAAATGTATAATACAAAATTTTAAAAACTTAAACCTAGCCTGACAGAATGCGCAGAGGGCGCCCAATGAGAGGTATGAGGGAGGAGATTGAAGCGGAAATGTTAAGGTGCTCAATGCTCCAAGGTTTGTGGTTCAACAGAGAGCAGTGGAGGTTAGGAGTCGTAGAAGACGATTTGGACGTGTTTATGCTAAAAAGAACTATGTGTATAGGGCTTACGTGAGACATAGTTCCTGTTCGCACAAATACGTTCATTTGAAAGTTCAAATAATAATGAAATAATACCTTTCATGTAAGGCTCATAGAGGTCGGGGATCTCCTTCTTGAGTGTGGTCGCATTCGATGTTAATTCAGCACCTGAATCGGAAGGTGAAGTTGGAAGTGGACTTGAGGTACTTGTAAGCTCCGGTGATATCGAGCTAACTATGTCATTTTCATCCACGTTTGAAATGATCCTGGTTTCGCCTGTGGCACAAACGTAAATTATTTTACCGGAAAGTATGTGGAATTCAATAACTGTTCATCTCGTTGGTACACATTCCATCGCAAAAAATTCCCTCGTAACCTGATTTATGTCATTGCTTCAAATCATCCTTTTGAAGCAACAAAACTTTCTCACATATCCACAAACAACGAGAAAGAGCTTGCTCTCTTTTCTGCTGTCTCAGAGATTTTAAGGGAGATTATAAAAGTTGGATGAGGCAAGACGCGTGATACAACTGATTCCGCTACCGAGTAGATAAAATTGTAGATCCACGAAATGAAGGAGAATGTGAATTCGGCTGACTCAGAGACTTCAACGCAGAACAGAAAAGCTGGATGAGACGAAATACGTGATACAACTTTTTTCACTCCCAAGAAGATAAAAATCTATATCCACAAAAAAGGCAAAAATGGTGTTATTTATCAGACTCAACTATCAATTGGACTACATTTTGCAATTTTGAACTATAAATTTTAGCCCGGTTTAAAAACAACGTTTGTGCCATTAGTTTCTCTTTGCACGTAAGTGTTTTCCAGAAGAGCCAGATTTATAGTTCCAAATTGTAAAATGCAGTCCAATTTGCGTAACCACACCCTCGGTTACACGAATTAAGTAATCATTTTTATTCTAAAGAGGTAATGTTCAACGCACTGCTTTTTACGAAAATTTGCGACAAAGATGTTTATATTTTGCAAAAAATTGTGCGGACCCGCTGCTTTTCACAAAAATGGTGTAAAAGCGTTGAATTTTTTTAAGAATTACTACGTAAATGATGATATTTTTTTTTTCATCATCCATTTATTTATTTTATTTTTATTTTTAGAAAATCACTGCTTAAGTTTTTGCCCTAGTCTTACTTATATGTCGGCTGTATGAAGAATCTACTGCAAAAGCGTTTAATTTTCTTTTAGAAATTTACCGCAAAAGCGTTGAATTATTAGGAAATGGATGCAACGCTATTTAATTTTTTAGAAAATTACATCGAACGCACTCTTTGTTTTTTTTTTTTTTTTTGTAAAAAATGCTTCTAACGCTTCGTGTTATAGTATGCGTAGGCTGAATCCCTGGTAGCTTGAAACTGCGGAGGCCGAAAAATCTCTGCACCCCTATGGACTTTCTTTGAATTTTTTTTTCTACTTAAAGAATCTGATATTTTTTACCGCATGCCTCTTTTACGACGCATTGCATTTTATTATTCTGCGAATAAATGAACAATATATCTTACATGGAATCAAAACCGTCGCGATGACCAACGCTATTAAGTGGAAAGTGAGACAGCTAAGCTGCCCACAGGAACCACTGATATCCTTAAGTGGTGTCGCCATCTGAAAAGTAAAGACAATTGACGAGTCTTAATCTGATTTATATTAATGGGAACATTAATTTGGACATATTTCTCCTAAACAGAACTACAAATGAGTGGGAAAGATTGGGCTGTGCTCTAGAAAGCTGCATAAGAAACAATTTAATAGTAGGCAGGATTCTTTTTGAGAAATAGAAAAGCGAGAAAAGTCATCCTAGATATAAGGTTGGCGGCAAGTGCGGTTGGTGATAACCGTTAGAAGTTTGCAATAACTCCCTTCTCATTCTGAAACAACAAGAGAAACGCCGCCATTTTGGGACTCGAAGCCCTCCATGGGGTCCAGTGTCCATATGCTCTCCTTTATAGAGGTACTCTAGGACTGACAGGACACGAGTTTCATCGACTAGGTGGTACTTGCTCCTTAAGCTGCACACACGGTCGAAAAATGATGCACAGTTTTTCCCCCAGATGTATTTAACTTCAAGGAAAATTTTCTGAATTATAATTTAAAGTAATTGGCACACACATTGCCTCTTATGAGACCAAATGTTTCACTCCGCATTTTGCACCTTATCTTCGATACTTTCCTAAATTTTGGTATTTACACCACTGTTTAGTTCACTTTGCTGTGTATGATTTTCATCGTTAACTTCATTGATCAGTCGCCTGCAATTCAGTAGAGTGCCGTGCTATGCGACGTACCGACGGATCTGCCATTTAAACCTACGAGGCAGAATCGATAAACAGGATGTTTGCAACGAACACCTTAATAATCGATTCTTTACCATAGCTTCAAATGGGGAAATATCGATAATCGATCATTCACGCCTCGCCACTGCTGTAATTTTTTGTCATCTTGAAAAATGTCTAGATATGACTGAAGGAGCTCAATATTCGTGTGCATATTACCTTCCTAGTTCCTATATTGTGTATCATGATCATGATTGTGTTTTTACTTATAACCTTTAACCTCAGTTTACCCTGGAGAACTGAAGGTAGCTTCAAGAACTCTTATACAGTTCGTAATTTATCATATATCCGAGGATGGTTTTAGATATTTTATGCTTGATATTCGTATGTTTATGCTTATGTTCATGAACACGAAGTATGCACTTACCTAGATAGAGGGATCAATTCAAAGAATAAAGGTTCATTTAAAGTGTACACCGAAAAAATTTCTTTTTGAAATATTATTTTGACTTAAAGCGTCGTTTCTTGTCAACAATTTTTTTTTTTTTTTTTTTTTTTTTTTTTTTTTTTTTTTTAAATTTAATACGTGCGGATTTAAGTAATAGTCAGCTTTTTTGAGTTAAAGAAACGTTGTTCTGCAATCGTTTGTTGGACTAAAACTTTAAGATAGAAAAAGAAGCTTTTTTAACTAAAAAACTGACTTTAAGTTAAATCCGCACGGATTTAACTTAAAAAAAAAGACGACAACTCAAGAATTTTTTTCTATGTTTCGTAGAAGTACACATCAATATTTCAAACGCCCTTGCCGTTTGGAATTGGAATAGACTAGCATTTATCTCATTAATATTTATGTGGGTATCTCTACAGTATTTTGGTGGGAAATTAAAATGGTTTGTAATGGTGGAAATATAATTATTAGAATTTACCTTTCTTTGGGCAGTCTTACTCCGTGTTTTCACTTTTCATTCAGGACCGTCTCAAGCACGAATGCACTTGATGACTGACTAGTCTAATTGAGGAAGATTCAGTTCGTTCATCTGATCTGAGGTCAATATTTGGCCTTTTGATTAAAATTCTGTGTTGATAACGATATAGTTGCGAGCATTATTTTTTCTGTCTGCGATGTCTGTAATGTTTCGAGGGAAACAAATTGAAAGCGAGAGGGAATTTTCATGATATGAATTTGATAACCTTGACATTTTATTTTGAACCTTAAATAATGAGACGAAATAAAATAAAAATCACAAAAAAACACATTTTGAAGACCTCTTTGTTTATAAACTTTTCATTTTTTAATGTCGACGACAAATTAGATTAAAGTGTCTCTATATTGTCGGACGAAGTGCAGGAACGGTACTCCGTCGCAACAATTATTTCATTGCAATTTATTAAGAATCGAACTCATGAGGAATAATTATAGTATAGTTACCCTCAAAATGGTACTATAAGTATTTGTATCATAATGGCATCTTAATACAAGGTGAACGTAAATAAAGAGAAGATATAGGAAACGGGTGGGCATTCCAATTAATAATAAAAAAAATTATTTTCAACAATCATTAAACTGCTACCGGGTATATATATCGCGGAGGAAGGCTCACAAGTTAGGAACTTTTTTAAGAACTACTTAACGTCATTTCTTAAAAACTCTCCTGACTTTTTATCTCCGTACGAAGCGAATTCTGGAAAAAACTTCATGGAGTAATGATGAAATTATTTCTTTTAAAAATAGGAAATAGGAGCGGATATTCTGAAACATTGCTGATGAAATACGTGGTTTGGGAGTTTTTGCGTCGATATATTACAAGAAATGTTGATGTTTCGATTCTTTTTACCCTTTTTATTCTTCTTTTTTTTATTCTTTTTACTGAATATTTTGAGATTGATTAACTATACACAATCATTGTGCGCGACGATCTTGAATAATGTTGAGGCAACGATAATCTGCATGGAAAGAGTGCAAGAAACGAAGGAGCCAAGAAAACAAGACTTTTCGACCAACTTTTGAGATCGAAATTTTTAATTATATTTAAGAAGGACACGATTTGGGCACATGTTTCCAACAAAAGCCGGCCGATAAAATTCATAATTCACAATGTAACATCTTGATGCATGGTAATAAGACCGACAAATGATAAACTTGCAACAGGCGATCAGGCGTCGGTCTTATCAACATGCATTGCGATGTAATATTTTTTTGTTTTCTAGTGATTATGAATATTATGAAGTATATTGACGGCTGATAATGGCCTTTTATATAGGTGCCTCGAAACGCGTCCTTTTTTCAATAAAAGTTCTCAACAAAAATTGTTCTAAAAGTACAGTTTTCTTTATGTTAAAATAAGTTCTGTATGGTTTTTAAAATGACTAGTTCTATATGTATAACTGAAAATTTTAATTATAAAGCATGTCATATTGAAAAACTGCGGGTCTTGAAATTATATATCCATAATATTTGTATCTTACAGCCATAAACATTGGGCATCTCATCTCGTACCGCGGCCGTATCCTAGTACGCCTGACCCTATTTTAAAAATACCACTTATCGAGCGCCTGTGCTATTGTGTGGTATCAAGCAAAAATGAAGGAGATTTTACTCAGGCGACTGATCCTAACGGCTCCTCTGTCCGCTCCGTGGCAACTTACACCAGATCGAGATCACACAACGTAAAGTTCCATGTCGGCCAAGCCAAGTCTAAGATCATCACTGAACCTTAACCGTAAAAACCTCCGTTGTGAATATCATTCGCTTAAAGACTTTTGAATAAGATAATAAGCCTGAAGGTTGCAAACGTGAGAATGACTTTTTGAATAGTTGCATTACTTCCCTCGATTTTTACTTCCCCTCGAAAAATTTGACAAATATATGTATTCCAATAAATGTAAGCGTCTTCATCATATAATCTGTCATGAATTTTAATGGTTTCAATCGAGCTCTTGTTATTTTTTCACTGGTCTAAAACAAAACCTGAGGGTTAGTCTCCTCTTACTTTAACCAATCGGCAACGCAGAAAAGTTTAAACACTATACCTAATTTTAAATATCTCGACGAGCCGAGGGGTAGGATGAAGAGATTTTTCTGGCTTCGATTTCTCTTAGTGCCACATTACTTAAGATGGTAAAAAAAGGAAGCAAAAAAGTTGACATTTTACCTGTTAATGGTCAAGTCTACGTACATTCTAGAAAAATGAGATTTAAATGGGGTTAAGTGCAAATAAAGTACGAAAGGAAACAGATTATATTATTATAAAAAAAAAACAAAACAAAAAAACTTTGTCTGTTCGTCATATTTATTAAATATGTACAAGAATTTTCACATTTCGGAAAAAAGTCTCGATTTTGCAATATTTGTAACGCAAAAGTGAAACTATCACAATTTTTTTTTTTAAAATTTGATATGCTTCTCATCGGTTTCCGTCCTAAAAAATGAATTTATTTCATATTTTATGACTACTGCAAAATGTTAAGGGGATTGTTCAATCGAACGTTGGAAATCACACCAAGGCGGCCCAAAAATGATTTAAAATTTCACAAAAGACTTCATGCACATGCTCAATGAAGGTTCTTCTCAAAAACAAAGGCGAGTCGTGAATGATTGATTATCGATTTTCCCCCTTTTGAAGCCATGGTAAAGAATCGATTTTTAAAGTGTTCGTTGCGAACATCCTGTCTATCGATCCTTTTCAATAGGTTTTATCGCAAAGCACGCCACGCCACTGCTAAAAAATGACCTTAAAGACCCCGAATTTCTTTATGAGAGAGATGAGGCGTACCCCAAAATTTTTCAAAGTAGGTTCGTCGTCAAAATTTGTGTATTAGGGAGAGTTTCAGGGATTAAAATTCCTAGAAATTTCCCCTTTTTGGTTGGATATGTTTCAGCTCATTGGAATGATATAAAAGGAGGAGGATGGATAGGGAGGAGAATATGAGGGGAAGAGGAAAGGAGCAAGGGGGAGGAAGGGGATGGGGGATGGGGAGCCTGATCCCAACCCCCCCGGGCTCTTCCTCCAGCCTAGTCTCTCGTGGCAGAGCCTTTATGAAAGCTTTTTTTTTATAAGCAGAGATATGATCTTTTCGATCAATGTAATCCATTTTCACTCATATCAAAGCAGCAAAAAGTTCGAGCATATTCGCTCAGACAATCGGGCGGGAACTTTAAGCGCTAAAAACGCATAGCACTCAGGAAATTATTGATTTCACATTATTCATGCTAACACAGTATTGGAGGGAGAATAAATGGAAAAAAGCTCATCCTGATCTGCATTGTGATACATATCGACGGTGAAACTACCAAACCACGTATCTCGTTTGCGGTGTTTAAAAATCTACAATCGCATTTTATTTTTTTGAAGTAGATCAAATCAATATCATTCCTTGAAATTTTCACAGAATTTTCTCCGCACAAAGAGGAAAAATCACATAAATTTTCAAGACTGGACGTCGAGTAGTTTTTCATTTAAAGAATAAAGTATGACAGGAAGTCTGCGACGTCGCAAACCGAGATACGTGGTTTGGTAGTTTCACCGTCGATATACTCCATTTTTAAAGAAAACCATCCGTGTCGACATGCCAGAGACGAGGAAATTCGAAAAAACAATAACTGAAAATCATTTTTTGGACTCCGGCAAGGGGACTGGGGGCAGGGGCACCCATAAAATAACGTATTTGCCGTGGTTGGGGGGGGGGGCGCTAGCGATGAAGTTATTTAAGATGGAGTAGAAAAAAAACACGGAGGAGGGTAATCTAACCAACATTAATAGTCCTTGCAAAAGTTTAAAGGTTTTACAGCCCCTGCTCCTAGAATCGATGCGCCAATTTAAATCTCTGAAGAGTTGGCGCTTCGCAGTAAATCCTTGTTAGTAAATAACGACCTAAGGAAGTGATTGGCTGGATCAGTATGTAAACAAAGATTCAATTGGTTGGCTAGATCATGGACGCGAATGCGAAATGAGTAATGAGTGTAACACCATTGTCAAGTCAACCTTTCAGTGACAATTTGCAACCCTTGCTGCCGTACAATATCGAGGACATTACTTTTTTCCCCGTTAAAACTTTAATCCAATACTCATCCGAAAATGCATTCATTGAATTGAGTTATCAAGCCTGAATTAACGGGTCGAATAAAAGATGAGACACCTGAGTCACTCGAATAATTTTGACAACATAGCACTAAGCGGCAATGTCACACAGTGGTTGCGAAAAAATGCCGATAGATCGGAGCACCGGCCAGTTCGAAGAAAACGTAAACAGTCGTGAGTAGAAAGAAGCCGGATAGATTTGGACGAAATTCGTGCGTGGTGCGCGAGCACGTTGTTGTGTTGATCGAAGTGTACTTAATTCATACTGTAAGTAATTAAATTACAGCGATAATTTCCGTGACATTAGCCGCTAAAGTCCGGCCATTAAATATTCGGTACTTTGTCTCGTTCGATGACAACTGCGACCGCTTTCGCATAACCTATTCTTGCTTGTGAGCATGGTGGTATGTGACCGGATTTATTTTGTGTGTGAAATTGTGTTCCAATCGCGTCTTTTTCTCGGATTTGGAAAATTTGCGGAAACTCATTGATTTTGCATTGTTTGCTCCTTCAACCGGTTTCATTCGGATGTATTCAGAAGAAAGATTGGAATGTTCGGGCCATGAGGTCTGTGCTTGTTCTCAGTTGTAAGTTGCATATGTACTTCATGCCTTCTTTAGATTTATTCTTCACATACTCTCTTGTGTACCATAGCTATACATCCAATTTTTTATTTTAAGTGTCGAAGATGTCCGTAGATTAATGAGAGGTGTGCCAGAGTTCTACTCAAAATTATCCTTGAAAGTGTTGATGTACAAAAATATGTTCTGGTATTCAGGACTATCACCAGCAGGCGGCTATCATGAAAATGCAATTTTGTCGTTTCTTAAAGCGTACATTACCAGTCTGCATTTTATTACTCTCTGACTGTACTAATGTTGCACATATTGATGGTCATATGAAACCGTGTATCTCCATTGCAGTGTTTCAAAATTTCTGCTCCTGTTTTGTATTTTTGAAGAGAAACAAGCCAATTTAAATGTAAACAGAATATTCTGCTAACAGAGATAAAAGACCAATAAGGTTTTCCAGAAATTATGTTGGTTTAATTTACAAATATAAAAGAAATTATGAGAACAGGGAGTCTGCATCATTGCAAACGGAGGTACATGGTTTCGCACTTTGGACATTGATATGTAACTCAGATTTTATTTGAAGTGTGGATTATTCCTAGATGTGATATGAGAGTAATAACTGATCCCTGCGAAGAAGGTTCTTTCAGCCCAAGTAGGTTTGAAAACTCAATTAATAGGAAATTCACGGGGAATCGTCATCACTGTGCGGATGTATAAATTGGTATTGCACCGTCAAAACAATGCCGAACACTCATGAGTTGGTTGGTATGTTACAGTTCTTTAAACTGACTATAATCCTCTCTTTCTCACTCTTCCAAAGGCAGAATAGGTATTTAGAAGATGGTTGAGTGAATGACTCATCTAGTGACTTTTAAATCAATTTGAGGACTGGCGGCTGCCTTTTGCCTTAATTATCTATAGTAAACCTCGCAAATTAATGCTGACTCTCCTGATTTTTACTGAGTTCGCTCAAGTTGTTGCATTCATTCCTATAAAGCTCCCATACTGCCATGCCAAGGAAGAACACTGTATGAACATTCGAGAGTTGCCAAATTTCCTTCAAGCAAATATTTATTATTGAGGAAAGTTATGAGTATTTTTCCTTGAAATTTTCCGGAACTTCAGGTGAAATTGCAGACAACATTATCTGGAAAATTGGAAGAAATTTATAAGTTTACCAGGAAAATCGTGTTTTAGAAATGGAAATTTGGCAACGCCTGAAGGTTCATACTTACAGCGTTTTTCCTTAGTATGGCAGCATACTGAGGCCATGTTTGGGAATGGATCCTACAATAAGGTTTGGACAGTATTTAACCTGGTTGCTTTGGCGTTGTCATAGCAATGAGATTTTGGAGTCGAAGAACGGTGTTGTATTTGGACTCCAACATTTATCACAATGAGGATTGGCACCAGCAACAACTTTTTTTCAGCTGTTCTCAAGGGGAAGTCCCGAGTCTGTAGGCCCTGAGCCTGGGGGTTTGTCCCTCCAAATTTTTATAGTACTTAGCTAGGTATCTACTTATTTATTTATTTTAAAAAGTGAGCTCTACAGCCCCTTCACACTATTGAAAACAGTCAATGGTGAAACTCTCGGAACGCACATCTTGGCTTACGACGTTGAAGACCTCCTATCATACTTACTTTATTTCCTAAGTGAGAAAGCATTCCACGTCATTTCTTGAAACTTTTTCTAATTTTTCCTTCCTCTGTGAAGGATATTTAATGAAAAAGAGCTCAATCACATTATTTGTTCCCCTTTGATGAAATGAAATGTGATTAGAGATTTTGAGACCCTGTGAATTAAATTTTCATGACCCCCAGTGGTTTATGTACCTTTTTTCTCTCATTCTTTTTCCCCTTTTAAAGTAGGGCTGGTTACTGAAATATAAAGCTGTTCCCAGCATCTACTTACTCTTTTCTTGCTCAAAGTCCAGCAGGTCAATGATTGAACCAAACTTTGAAATTTGTGCTAAATATTTCGTTTGTGGTGCAGTCAGCCTCGGAGGTTAATATATACTTATTTAGTTTTAGATTTGAAATGAACCTGAAGTATTGGAACATTCCCCAAAAATTCTGCAGCTTTTTCCCAGCAAAAGTGCCTCCAGTGTGTATTCATTTCTCTTTGCTCCAGCCGTGGTGGGAAGCTTTAGCATTTTTTTAATTAAATAAACTATTATCTTTATATATCTCCAATTTCAGCTCAAATGCACCGTTTGGTAAGCTAAAAGGGCAAATTTATGCTTTATGACTGAAAACTTCTTACTTACTCTTGCTGGGTTATTGTCTGAACAGCGAAATTCATGTGAAGAAAAATCGGTCGGTTTTTTCCATCGGAGCTGAGTCACGAAATTTACGCCTGGGATTGTCAATTTTTGCTGATAGACCAACATTATTTTTAAACGCAATTTCGGTCTCGCAGCAAGGCGAAGGCATGATTCAGCATTCTGCCTCCAATGGAACTTCATTTTGCAATTAGGAACTGCAATTTCTTGCTTATCCATAAAAACAATTATGTACGTAGGGAAACATATGGTCCATAGGTTGTTTCTCAATTGAGCCAGAAATTAATGTCCTGAATTTTAAACTGCAGTTCTGATTTGCAAACTGCGGTTCACGTTTTATCGTCGGATATTTGAGACAAAAAAGGCGAATTTTCGCGATAGACCTGCCAGCCTGTGTAAAATAATATGATAGAAAAAGCGAACCATCCTTAATCTCGGGAAATACTTTTGATGTTTTTCCTATGACGGTGTTTTCGAGCACTTCAATCCTTCAAATCGCGCGACCAATCATCAAATGGACTATCCATCACACAAATGTTTTCTAATACAACGAATACATTTCGTGGATATTCCGTTTCTTGATCGGTCTTATGTCCCCCACTTTCAGGGGTGCGGTCACTTCTCGACCACGTGAACGGCGGGTGGTGATCGTTCACTTGCCGCGTTCAGGGAGGGAAAGCCTTCAAAATGGGTTTTGTTTTGTACTTTCCGTAAAATTGAGAAGGAAGCTGCTTGTATCGTGTGTAAACGCGGTAAAAATAATTGCGCATCTTCTGCAACTTCGCGGAAATGTGTAGGTACCTGTAGAACAGAAAACTTTATTTTGCAATTAGGAACTACAATTTCTGGCTCATACGTAAAAACATTTATATACATAGGGGAACTAAGTAATGGTGATTACGTTGGTTTAAAACTAAGCCAGAAATTGTTCCTCCGAATTGCAAAATGTACTCAAATGCAGTCCTCATTACCTCGAATTTTTTTTAGGAAAAAGGGTCTTCGAAATGGGAAGGTAATTTTAAAAATAGAGGGGCTGAACCTGTCTGCATCTCTGCTCGCTTTTATTTTAGGTTGCCTAGTATTCGCATTATTTTACAGGGTCCTTACATCCGGAGTTTGGGCCCCCGGCAAGCAAGTTAATCAACTTAATTGCAAAGTGATGGGAGGGGCAAGGGGGCATTAATATCTCATTCTCAACCCTTCGCTCTGACTCATTTTTGCCTAGTCACAGATCTAGGCTCGGAAAGTCAGGCGGAAATTCCTTCTGTCCATCAAAGTTAGAAAAAGGACTGACGAAAGTCGCTTTTAAGAAACCGCTGCGAAGTATACTTCCCGATCGGTGTAATTTTTCGACATTTTGTGGACAGTTGGATCGAGTTTAGCAAAAAGGAACCACCTAATAACAGGTTGAAACCACCAAAGAGAGGTTCAAGTTTTGACCCCTCCGTTTTCCGTTATACTCATTACTGAATCATTTAAAAGTAAGGTTAAAAGTTGCCGTTTTCGGACCAGAGTTCTAATTTTACGGGGTGCCTCGCACCAAGTGCGTCTAAAAATTTAAAGCAGCACTGCACCAGCGCCTTGCGCCAATCATGCCCCTTAAAAATATCGTCGCAGCCCTAATTTCTCTGGCGACTGTATATATATAAAGGTCGCTTTACAGCACTTCCTCGCGCTCTACGACTCCTAACCTCCACTGCTCTCTTTCAAACCACAAATCTTGGGGGATTGAGCACCTTAACATTTCCGCTTCAATCCCTTCCCTCCAACCTTTCATTGGGCGCCCTCTGCGTCTTCTCCCAGGAGGAACCCTGTCAAGGACCTTCTTCGGCAACCTGTCTCCTGCCATTCTCTGGACATGACCATACCAAATGAGTTGTTTTGTCATAATGTCATGCACGATGGCGACTGTTCCACGCAAAATTTCCTGTTTCGTTACTATCAAATAGTTCATAGAGTCCCTCTAAAATCTCATGTAGCGGCTAATCGGACTTTCCGGCCCATAATGCTCCTATAATTTTGGGGTTTAGTTAGAGCCTCGGTCCGAACGAAAGAGGTGAAACCACTATATAACCATCGCAGTAAGAAGGCCAGCCTGCGAATAACCAAAAGGTCTGTAGAGCAACACTGGTAAATAACCGCTTTACCTTGCTAGGAAGAAAGCCGTATGAGCTCTTAGGCGTCGCCAAGTCTCCTCTAACTAATACGGATTTTCAGGAAAACTTGTTTATTTATTTCCTACGATTTATCTGAGAATTTTATTTACAATTTCTTCTATAGTAATGTCAAGGAAAAATATTCATAACTTTTTCCAGAATCGAACACTTTTAAGGGGAAGATTTGGCAACGTTTAAATGTCTATACGACGTTTTTCATCAGCACGTCAGCGCTGGTGTTGTGCATTGAGTAGGTGAAGGTCAGCTGTACCATAAGCGGTCATAACCGCAGGTTGAACTTTAAGAGCTTTATTTAAGTCTTCGCGATACGCTAAAAAAAAGCTTTTCGCGGAATTTTTCTTGTCCACCGCCCCACACACAATCGGACCGTTTACTTATGAAAAGACCCAAGTGGCATAGCCCTCTCACCCGTGGTTTCCCACAGCCATCATGACTATTAGGGCTCATTACTTTACAGGCGTTTCCGCCCTTTCGGAAATACTCAGTGCGCTTCAATTCTAGAGCCCTTTTACCTTGATTTACACTTAGAATCGTCGATTTTTTACTCGGCACC